CTGATTGAATCAGAGTTTTACACACAGTTAATGAATTAAGGTCAACAGTTCAGGGCCTAAAATAAATAATAATAATATCAATAATAATAATAATTAAAGTCAGCAGCCACAGCTCGGGGTGCGCGAAACACAACTCAGCTCAAAATCGCCACGCAGCGCTTACTTCCTGTTGCCAGTAGGTGGCGCTATCACTGTCTGAATATTGTCATGAGGACGAGTTCAGGGCGTGGGACTGTACGCTGAAGATATGAGTACTATCTGTTTGATGGCCAATCGGTGGAATTCGACACGTCGTCACGGACACACGGTTAAACATACAGTCACAAATAGCACAACTTTCAATCAGAACCATTGTTTTACTGTACTGACCAATTTTGAAGCAGATCCGATAAATTCCCTACGAGGAGTTCGTTCAAATACAACGCAAAAGTTCGCCGAAATCAAAACTTTAAATCAAAATGGCCGACTTCCTGTGGGGTTTGGGGTATGGGTCCAAGAGGCTGTTTTGTACGTCCCAGCATGTTACACGTGCCTACCGAGTTTCGTACATATCGGTGAAATGTGGCGCCGGGGCTGCTGTTTTTTTATCCTGTAGGGGGCGCTACACACACGACAAACACGATTTTTGGTATGTGAGCTTCAGGCACTACTCTACACGTGCCCTGTGAATTTCATATTCATAACTATTACGGTGTCCGCACAGTGATTTACCCTGCCACCAGAGCGCCACCTAGTGGCGTATTTAGTTTTTCCTTTTTAAGTGAGCCTCAGGGAGCCATGGGGAAGCATCGTACCAAGTTTCATCTTAATCACACATACCGTTGTAGAGATATAAACTTCATTTTAAAGAGCGCCACCTAGTGGCAATGGCCTGAAATTGTGCACAATGCCTAAGGAAGACATGAGGAACTATGGACCCGAGTTTGGTGTCAATCGGACAAACCAATGTGGAGAAATGGTCCACTTCCTTTTTTGACGGATAATCTACAGGAAGTTAGCATTTTATAGCGTGCTTATTTTTTTAAATTTCAAAAATGTTCAAATTAAACTTACTGCCAGGGCGGTCTCCAGGTTCTAGGTGACAAATTTTGTGCGAATCGGACAAAGCGTGTAGGAGGAACACAAACAAGTAGTTTAAGGACATTTCGCGCTCTAACAAAATAAATTATCGGCGGAAGTGGGCGGGGCCTATATGGAGAGATTCAGCTCTATTCACCGAACGCGTGGATACGAGGTTTATGAATGTACGATAAAATATGCAGAAGTTATTAGCCTAAACGCATTTTTTCTGATAGTAGCGCCACCTAGTGGCCAACCTGAAAGCGACTCATAGAATATCCCCATTTTCACCAGACCTGACTACTTTAAAATTGAGTTTTCGTAAATGTTCAGGAGGAAATCGCAGTCAATGGGGCTAAAAATAATAATAAACAGCAAATACAATATTTATTATTATTAATAAAAAAAAAATATTTATTATTATTATTATTTATTATTATTATTTATTATTATTATTATTATTATTATTATTATTTATTATTATTTACCTAATAATAAATAATAATAAATACGAGCTGTACAGTGATTATTGTCCTCAGCAGGAAAACACTGATACTGAGTCCATTATTGGCTCAGAGTGAGGGCTGCTGGGTAATCTGGTTTACTGAGGGGGGGGCTGTTACACTGTGTGAGTGTGTGTGTGTGTGTTTTTTTAGTGTGTGTGTGTGTTACTGTGTGTGTGTGTGTGTGTGTGTGTGTGTGAGTGTGTGTGTGTGTGTGTGTGTGTGTGTGTGTGTGTGTGTGTGTATCTGTGTGTGTGGTGTGTGTGTGTGTGTGTGTGTGTGTGTGGTGTGTGTAGTCAGTGTTACTGTGTGTGTGTGTGTGTACTGTGTGTGTGTGTGTGTGTGTGTGTGTGTGTGTGTGTGGTCTAAGACAGCTCACTGACCCACAGCTCAAACAGGAAGTGCTGCAGCACTCTGAGGTTTAAGGTGAACTTGAAGTGTGCAGCTCGCTCTGTGTGTGTGTGTGTGTGTGTGTTACTGTGTGTGTGTTACTGTGTGTGTGTTACTGTGTGTCTGTGTGTGTGTGTGTCAATAATGTGTGTGTGAGTGTGTGTTCTCTGGGATGTCCTGTGACGAGGACGTAGACCTACAGAGCTGGGGCTGGACTGACCTGTGTGTATCCTCACCTTCTTCTTCTGTGGTGTTACTGTGTGTGTGTGTGTGTGTGTGTTGTGTGTGTGTGTGTGTGTGTGTGTGTGTGTTGTGTGTGTGTGTGTGTGTGTTACAGTGTGTGTCTGTGTGTTACAGTGTCGTGTGTACTATGTGTGTGTGTGTGTGTGTGTGTGTGTGTGTGTGTGTGTTACCTCACTGTTGTTCTGACAGCGCTAACAATGCTAACAATGCTAACAATGCTAACAATGCTCAGTTCTCTCAGGACACTGAACTCCTTCTAACCATTACAGACTGTAGCATGTTAGCACTGTTTCACACACAGCTTCTGTTACTGAAAGTAATGTTAACCTCCTCCTCCTCCTCCTCCTCCTCCTCCTCCTCCAGCTCCAGCTACTCCTCAGCAGTGTCTGACTCGGAGAAGGAGCAGCAGATCTTGGCGTTCCTCCACTCGGGGACGATGTCGAGACGCAGCCTGCGGCTCGATGACGGCCTGTTGGACCGCAGTCTTCCACACGGCAGCGCCTCCTTCAGTGTGGGAGGAACCAGCTGGAGGAGCACCAGGTGAGGGCCACTCCTCTACCTCCACTTCCTCTCATCGTCCTCCTCATTCATTCACCATGTTGTCTCCTCCTCCTCCTCAGAGTCTCTCCTCATTCATTCACCATGTTGTCTCCTCCTCAGAGTCTCTCCTCATTCATTCACCATGTTGTCTCCTCCTCAGAGTCTCTCCTCATTCATTCACCATGTTGTCTCCTCCTCAGAGTCTCTCCTCATTCATTCACCATGTTGTCTCCTCCTCCTCCTCAAGCCCCCATCATTCACCATGTTGTCTCCCCTCCTCCTCCTCAGGTTCTGAAGTCCCCCCCAGCAGCTCTCCCCCCCCTGTCCTCCTCATTCATTCACCATGTTGTCTCCTCCTCCTCCTCCTCCTCAGAGTCTCTCCTCATTCATTCACCATGTTGTCTCCTCCTCCTCCTCAGAGTCTCTCCTCATTCATTCACCATGTTGTCTCCTCCTCCTGCTCCTCATCTCTCCTCATTCATTCACCATGTTGTGTCCTCCTCCTCCTCCTCCTCCTCCTCCTCCTCCAGGTTGCTGAAGTCTCGTCGCTCCCAGCAGCTCTCCTCCTCCTGCTCAGAGTCTCTCCTCCTCAACACTCCTCGTAAACAGTCTCTCCTGAACAGCAGCCTCCACAGCGTGACCTCCGACGCCTCCCTGCTCTCCTCCCTGCTGGACGACTCCTCGGTCCAGGAGACCACGATGGTCGACACCTTCTGGGGTACGCGCCCCCCCCCCCCCAAAGGATGTCTTTTATTTTGGAGGGGTGTTTGTTGACTGTCTGATCTTCTTCTTCTTCTGGTGTTTTACAGGTTTGGACCAGGACATGGATCCTAAAGGTGATCAGTGATCATTACTGCCAGTACAGGGATAGGATAGGTAGTTACTATGGTAACGGCCAAAACAACCTCCTCGGAGACCGACACAGAATAAACGCCGCTATGAGCCGGAGACACAATCATCAATAAGTTTATCATTGATCAGAATCCATTTAATTGCTCTTATTGATCAGAATCCATTTAATTGCTCTTATTGATCAGAATCCATTTAATTGCTCTTATTGATCAGAATCCATTTAATTGCTCTTATTGATCAGAATCCATTTAATTGCTCTTATTGATCAGAATCCTCTTTATCTTTATGGATTATGTTTATATATTTATATATATGCTGCTCTCCCGTTACAGAAAGTACCATCATAGCGGAGCCGAGCACCGTCCTGGCAGACCGCACTCTGATTGGTTCAGACGGTCGCTGTCCCAAACACGTGGTCCCGACGCCCAGCAGGGTTTACTGCAAAGACTGTGAGTCCACGTACTTCCCCTCCTCCAAATACACCTCCTCCTCTTCCTCGGTGCCGGGACCGTCGGAGCCAGCGGAGCCGGAAACCTCCACCGTCTACTGCAGAGACCGGAGCCGCAAGACCCGCACAGGTCTGTCTGTGGCTACTGTCTGTGGCTACTGTCTGTGGCTACTGTCTGTGGCTGTGGTTACTGTCTGTGGCTACTGTCTGTGGTTACTGTCTGTGTCTGTGGCTACTGTCTGTGGCTACTGTCTGTGGCTACTGTCTGTGGTTACTGTCTGTGGCTACTGTCTGTGGCTGTGGTTACTGTCTGTGGTTACTGTCTGTGGCTACTGTCTGTGGCTGCTGTCTGTGGCTACTGTCTGTGGCTACTGTCTGTGGTTACTGTCTGTGCTATCTGTGGCTACTGTCTGTGTGTGTCTACTGTCTGTGGCTACTGTCTGTGGTTACTGTCTGTGGCTACTGTCTGTGGCTACTGTCTGTGGCTGCTGTCTGTGGCTGTGGCTACTGTCTGTGTCTGTGGCTACTGTCTGTGTTTGGTTACTGTCTGTGGTTACTGTCTGTGGCTACTGTCTGTGTCTGTGGCTACTGTCTGTGGCTACTGTCTGTGTCTGTGGTTACTGTCTGTGGTTACTGTCTGTGGCTACTGTCTGTGTCTGTGGCTACTGTCTGTGGCTACTGTCTGTGGTTACTGTCTGTGGTTACTGTCTGTGGCTACTGTCTGTGTCTGTGGCTACTGTCTGTGGCTACTGTCTGTGTCTGTGGTTACTGTCTGTGGTTACTGTCTGTGGCTGTCTGTGTCTGTGTCTGTGGCTACTGTCTGTGTCTGTGGCTACTGTCTGTGGCTACTGTCTGTGGCTACTGTCTGTGGCTACTGTCTGTGTCTGTGGCTACTGTCTGTGTTGCGGCTACTGTCTGTGGCTACTGTCTGTGTCTGTGGTTACTGTCTGTGGTTACTGTCTGTGTCTGTGGCTACTGTCTGTGTCTGTGGCTACTGTCTGTGGTTACTGTCTGTGGTTACTGTCTGTGGCTACTGTCTGTGTCTGTGGTTACTGTCTGTGGCTACTGTCTGTGGTTACTGTCTGTGGCTACTGTCTGTGTCTGTGGCTACTGTCTGTGGCTGCTGTCTGTGTCTGTGGCTACTGTCTGTGGCTACTGTCTGTGTCTGTGGCTACTGTCTGTGGTTGCTGTCTGTGTCTGTGGCTACTGTCTGTGGCTACTGTCTGTGGCTACTGTCTGTGTCTGTGGTTACTGTCTGTGGCTACTGTCTGTGGCTACTGTCTGTGGCTACTGTCTGTGTCTGTGGCTACTGTCTGTGGTTGCTGTCTGTGTCTGTGGCTACTGTCTGTGTCTGTGGCTACTGTCTGTGGCTACTGTCTGTGTCTGTGGCTACTGTCTGTGGCTACTGTCTGTGGCTACTGTCTGTGGCTGCTGTCTGTGTCTGTGGCTACTGTCTGTGGCTGCTGTCTGTGTCTGTGGTTACTGTCTGTGGCTACTGTCTGTGGTTACTGTGCCTTTCTTCTTCAGGTGTGCTGGCGTCCGTGTGGGACAGGTCAGCAGCCTGTGTGGTCTCCCTGCTCGCTCTTCTTCTTCATCAGCTGACGCTACAGAAACGCCACCATGTGACAGGTAGCAGACCTGAGCAGGCTTCCTCTTCAGCAGCAGGCTGCTTCTGTCCGTCCGTCGGCAGGAAACTGGTTCAGAGCAACCTGAAACCTTTCAGTGTTAAAGCTCCAGTGTGTCACATTACTGTGATATAATATTCATACTAATGTTTTCATAGGAATCCCTAGAATGAGACGTTTTTATCTACAGAGGGAGCAGGTGGCCCTCGTAGTTTCTCCTCCTCCAGCAGTTTTCGGGTCGTCCAGTAAAATTGTGATTTGTATTTAAGCCGCTCACTTAGATTACGTAACCCTGGATGCGTATTTCAGTTCGAATCCGGTTTACGAGAGTTTTTATTTCTGCTCCCATGTCGGTCCAGAGCTGTCTCATCTCCACTCACTAGATGAGACAGTGTACGGCTTTATAACTGTTCATTGTACGTGCAACAAACACTTATAATGGTAGACTGCTGTACGGTAATCCCTGCTGATCAGTGGACGACCGCTCTGTCTGATCACAGTCTAAATGTCTAAAAGAAATCAGAAGTTAGTTTCCTGCCCTGCTGTGATTCTTCTCACTTTCACTCTCAAGACTCACAGCGAGTTTTATTTCCTGAAACCACCTCTCTGTGGCTCCGCCCCCACAAATATTTGAATAAATCTCTGTATGTGAGCGTCCTCTCTGTCACTGCACCTCAACCTTTTGTTGAAGTCTGCTGACTCTTCCAGATGTGCTGCAGCTGTGGTGGGACTCGTGTGTGCTGTGTGTCCGGAGAGCTGCAGCCCGCTGTGCGTCTGCGCTGACACACACCTGGCAGGTGTGTCGGGGGCTGAAACCACAGACTGAGAACAGACGGGGAGGTATCGACTGTACCTGTCCACGTTTATTCCTCCCACTGGTGTCACACCTGGAGTCAGACGCACGCAATTAATATAACCAGTGATAACCGACTCTTTCTTCTTCACCTGGACTTCACTTACCTTCACATGCTGTTAAACACGTTTCCTCTTCATCACTCCACTTCCTGTTTCAGCCCCACAGCAGGAAACTGTCTAAAGCCTCGTTCACTCTTTCAGATCCATTGATTACAATTCTTCCGCTGTTAGAAACCTGGGCTGGTTTGCCAGATAGCAGAATGTTAACCAAAACTACATTTGTGGAAAACACTGCTACAAGAACCACCTAGAACCAACCAGAACCACCCTAAAGGACCACTAGAACCTCATCAAGGAACACTTAAAGTACCTAATGAACCTCTGAACCACATCAGTCTATCTGAAGGACCCCTGGAACCTCCCTAGAGTTCTTTATCCACCAACAGGGGGAACCTATTCTGGTTCAGGCACCTAGTGTGACAGATAGCACCGAGGTTCCAGGCCTTATTAAAAGCAACCTGTTCAAGAACCAGAACTAAGTTGGTGGAAAAACTCTGCTAGAGGACCACTAGAACCACCTAGAACCAGCTAGAACCAGCTACAGTCTGAGATCTGATGGTGGAGATGTTATCTGGGAGTCGGTGGCTTTTTGTTGACGTTCTGGTTCACTGTGTTCTGTTCACAAAGCTTCCCTTGATCCAGATCTGGATCTTGTCCTGGTCTTCCTGAACTCTCTGCTCACCCTCCGTGTTTCCCTCCCAAACAAATGGGCCGCACCCCTTCACTTTGGCTGTTGCCTTGGCAACATGCAAATCTCCCCGCCCGCAGCCAGCGGTCGAGGGACTAGCGAGGAGTCCTGACCCTGTTCTCTCTGTTGCAGCTCGATCCAGTCACTGTGGAGTCATGAACCTGAGGGAGTCCAGCACCAACCAGAAGGAGCTTCATCCCAACGGATCTCTGTGTGAGTTCTCATAGACACACTTTAAAGCTTTCTGTGGGAAATTCTGATTTATTATGTTTCAGAACTAAAACTGATGATTTTCTTCATGTTCAGCCTGAAGCCAAAAAGTCCAAAAATGGTTTAAAAACTATTCTTTGCTGGTGTTTCTGTCTCCCAGCTCTCCGTAAAAGCTCTGAATGATGTTGTTTCCAGCCTTTCCTCCCTTGTGTTGTCTCTGTCGGTTAAACACTCCTGACACCAACAGGTGACGACTGTAAGGACAAACATCACTCAGAGCCGGATTCTGTCGCCTCTACCTGGTCCTCTACCTGGTCCTCTACCTGGTCCTCTACCTGGTCCTCAGTGGCTTCCTGTTTGTTGGGGCTGATGTGGAGCGCTGCTGTTTCTACAGGTTAAAGAAAACAGAATCTGACAGAGTTCAAATAATATTCTCCAGATAATAAATAATTGTTAAAACAAATAAAATCAAGACCGCCGCCGGAGCTCTGCTGTCATTGGCTGTCGTGCTCGCAGCTAGTCGCCACTGTAGCTCATATTCAATGGCCATTTTCTCAGAGTGATGTTCGCTACCAGCCGGCAGATCTTAAACACACATTCCCTAAAGAGCTGCTGATGGTCAGAGGCTCTGATATGTGGGGGAAAGGTTTTCTAACAAACTAACAGTAACAAAACATATTTAGATAAAAGCTTATGATCATTACTGGCTATTAAATTATCGATCACAATAAAGCTCTGACTTTATTTGTTGGTTACTAGCAATATGCACATTGGCACAAATTTAATGGGACAATTTAAAAAAAGTTTAAAAAAAAATCCTATTGCCAATAAAATAAATTAATTTAAAAATAGCTACTTTGAGTAAGACTATAGATTTGTTCTTATGCAGCCAACACACAGCACTGATTGGTGACACATAATAATAATAATAATAATAATAAAAAAAAAAAAAATAATAAGTTACTTTTGCAGCGTTTAATTAAACATACTTTAAAGCTCTCTTAATAAGAAAATCTCTTAATATTTCACTTAATAAAAGTACAAAAGCATCAAAATATGCTGAAAGTACCAAAAATTTTATATATATATATATATATATATATATATAAAATTTTTGAACTGAACTGAAGTAGAGTATAAGTATAAAATGAGCACTTGAGTAAATGATGGTTTCCGTGGTTACTAATAATCAGTCTCTGTACGTACTCTGATATCGATCTCCTTCAGTGTCTGACGCCTCTTTGCTTCTTCAGCTTCGTGTCTGTTTCAGCTCACTCACCATGCCGCTTCAGCCGTTTGGCCTCTGACCAAGAAAATGTGTTCAGCTTCTCTGAGCGCCGGACGCTCTGCAGGTTAATGCTGCGTCACCGTGTTTGATTTGTGTGTTTGTTAACCCTTCGCCGCTCTTCCTCTCTGGGGTGCAGTTTGTTCTTGTCGGCGCTCCTGAAGTGTTTGTGGAGGTTCAGCTCTTCCTCCTGCTGCTTCATTGTTCCTGTTGTCTGTTCTATCGTTTGCTTCTGCAGTGGACGTTCAGTATCATTAATTACTGCCTTTTGTGAGTTATATCACAGCATTTCATATACAGATGTTGAAGGTTCTCAGGAACTCTCTGAATATCAACAGTTTGATTTAACTGCAGTATTTTATAAAATGAAGGATTTCCTAAATAAAGCTTCATTATAAAACAATTTCTACACCTTAAAGAAACCCAAGAATAAAACTACTGACCAGGAACCAGCAAACTCATCAGTTGTTGTTGTTTGTTTTTGTGTATGTGTGTGCAGTAATAATATAATGATGTGTCTCTTGCTTGGTGACCTGCAGCTTCCTGCTCAGCTGGTGAAAGTCTTCATTAATCATCTGATTACTTAATGGAATATTTAAAGTGTGTGTGTGTGTGTGTGTGTGTGTGTGTGTGTGTGTAGGTAATGCAGCAGGTGACGTGTACAGGTGGCTCAACAGACGACTGCATCACATGACCTCCAACTTCCTCCCGACTCGGCAAGTTTGGTTTTTCTTTCTTTGTTTATTTTGGTTGAAACCAAAGATCTCTGGTTAGAACTGGATGGGTTGAATTTATTTTTCTTTCCCTTTTCTTGCTAATTTTTGCTTTTTGCTTGAGAATTACTGGATAATTTCCTTTGTGGGTCTTTAATACAACTGAAATTTACTAATAGTTTCCTAAAAACTATACAATTTGGTACTAACTGCATGGGAAATCTACTTAAAAGCAGTTGTGTTAGTTCCTCTAACATCCACTAGAGGCTCCAGCAGTGAGTCAGTCTCCATATTAAACTTCAGAAATAAACTAGAGATCACTTCCCTGTTCAAACCAGCTGTACAACCCCTTTAAATGATGTTAAGGGTTAAAGTTGTACAGGATGAAGGGCGTGGCTGCTTTGAGTGACATGTGCGTGCAACAAGAAGCTTCAGATGATTTATTCTGCTCAGTGTCTAAAAGTCAGTCTGTGGATGAAGCAGTTCTTTTATTAATCAGACATGTTGTTCTTCGTCCTGCAGCTTTGCTCTCAGACTCCTCCTGGTTGTCCTCCCTCTGCTCCTCCTCCTCCTCCTCAGTAGGTTCCAGGTTTAAAAGTAATAAGTAAACAATAAACCAAGCTCAGGTTCAGGTCTGGCTGCAGTCTAACACAGCTGCTGTTGATGTTTCAGGCCTGTGTTGGTTTGGTCCAGCTGGTCTACAGTCCGTCCTTCCAGCAGTCAACATCACAGAGTGGAGGACGGTGGTCTCCGACGTCCCCGGTCTGTCCTCCATCTACGGCTCCACGTCCCCCCAGAGCCACTCAGTGGAGGGCGCCGTGGAGGAGTCGAGGGAGGTGCAGGCCTTCGAGGAGCCGCTCTACAGTCGACCTCCACCGACTGAAACGCAGACAGGAGCGGAGGTTCTGACCCCTGACTTTACGGTCTGGATTTACTTTCTGACTTAATGTTTCACTGGAATCATCAGAATCAGTCGTCTTGTGTTCAGAATCAAAAGATTATTTCTGTAATCAGCTTGAGTCCATGTTTCTCCACGTGTCTAAGCTGTCTCACCTCTCGTCGGCCTGTGGCCTTTACAGCTGCCGTCAGCCGCGGTGGAGGAGTCGACGCGGCTCGGTCGTCTGGAGCAGAGTCTGGCGGCGCTGTGGGAGCAGGTGGAGGTCGGGGGGCGGCGGGAGGAGCAGAGACATAGGGAGGTGCTCCGGCTGTACTCTGACCTCCAGCAGCAGCAGCAGCAGCAGCAGCAGCAGCAGCTGGTCTCCGTTCACAGCGGCGCTGGGGAGCCCTGGCTGAGCGGCCTGCTGGACCAGCAGCTGGACCAGCTCAGGACACGAGTGGACGAGGAGAGGCAGCAGAGGGAACAGGTCAGATACTGAACGCATCGGTCGGGACCCCCTAATGATGTCACAGAATAAATCTGAGGGGTCATAAAATGATAAACTGGATTATTTTGCTCGAGAATTACTGGATCATTTACTTAATGGGTCCATAATTTACTAATAATGTCTGAAAAACTATGAAATCTGGTGCTAACTGTATAATGTACTACACATGTTGAAAAGCAGTTAATGATTGATGGAGTTTAGCTAACTAGGGGAGCTAGTGTCTTGCTAATATTAGCTAACTTAAGTGTTAGAGGAACTTTTGTGTTGGCTTCATTTGAGGCTCCCTAAGTCCCGCCCCTTTTTGCTGTCTATAACAGTGGAGAAAACCTCGGTCAACTTCCTCCTTTCCTTTGCTTAGGTATGCTATATGCTACATGCTAGGCTCCATAGGTTCCAGTACATACATGGTGCAGTATATAGCATAGAGCTTACAGTAGCTAACTTAATATATGTGAGTTCACTCAGTGATAGAAAAGAGCTTCCTGGAGGGAACAAGGTTGAGAACTACCAGTCTGCTGTATGGAAGAGGATATGGATCCCTGAGCATGATGGGAGTCTTGTCTCCTTCCTGTTGGTGTGTTTGTAGACTCGGCAGCAGGATTTGTCGCAGCAGCAGAGTCAAACGTCCCGTCTGGATCATCTGGAGCAGCAGCTGCAGGCGCTGGCTGCCAGAACCCAGGTACAGCAGAGAGACCGCTCTAAGCTCACTCACACAGGCTCCAGGCTTCATTGGTTTCAGTGTGGTTCATTGTTCTGCAGGCGGTGCAGTGGAGACAAGAAGCTGCTGCAACAGCTTCACCTTCATCCACAGTTCCAGCTGCTGTCAGGTAACCTTCATCCTCCTCTTCACTCAGTTCACCCCGGGAGAAACCTCCTGAACCGTGAACACTGAAGGAATCCTAACCTTCGGTCCACTCTAAGTGACCTGAACTACAGATGTGAACACTTTACCTTGACTTCATGCTGTCACAGTTTGTAGTACAGTTGTCCTGTAACTTCCTCTAGTGTTGGTGTTGACCGTCAGTCCCATGATGCCTTGCTCGCGGAGGTAGTGCGGTTGGAGGCGGCTCTGGAGGACGTCAGGCAGGATGTTGAGGGTCTGTCTGGATGTTGGGACGGCTGCAGACGACTCGACAAAATCCAGCAGACGGTGAGTTTTTACAGTTTCACAATAAAAGCCTCCTGTTGCTTCACCAGTAGAAACTTTTAATGTGAAGCAGCCAAATGTTTAAGTGTGTTTGTTCGGGCACAGCTGATGTTTTAGTGCCGTTTATTTCTTCGCCTATATAATTTAGTGTTTTATTTATTTATATTCTGACAGACGTGGATGTAAAGGAGGAGTACAGCCACAGGGCAGCGATTGGTAACGGTCTCTTTTTGTATCCTGCTGCTGTCAACCAATCAGATTTCAGAGCAGGTCTCCGCTCAGGTCCGCGAGGAGGTTCGGACTCTGGTCTACGGCAACCAGCTGACAGTGAGGGGCGGGGCCTCGGGAGACGGCGGCGGCCTCCCGGACTCGCTCTTGCAGTGGCTGTCGCAGCAGTACGTCAGCGGGGCCGACCTGCAGGCGTCGCTGGCCGCCCTGGAGCTCAGCATCCTGCAGAACATCAGTCTGCAGCTGGAGCAGCGCGGCAGCGAGGAGGCGGTCAGAGAGGCCGTCCTGCACGCCACCGGGGCAGCTGGGGCCGCCGTGACCCAGGAGGTGAGGAGTGGGGGAGGGGGGCGTCTGGAGGATGAGAGTGAGTCTTAATATCACTACACAATTCTTTTATTGAGACTAATCTTGTCTCCTTTGGTCCACACTGAAATATCTCACCTACTCTGGACGGATTGGGCTCAGGATACAGCTGCAGTTATTAATCGCCGGCTATTTAGATAATTGAGTCTTTTTTTTTTTTTTTTTAAAGAAAAAATCTCTTTAGTCCTTTTTATGATTGGAAAATTTGGGTTGTGGATAAAACAAGACATTTGAGCGTCAGCGTGGGAAACAAAAACTAAATTCCTGTTTCACTTTGCGTCGTGTAGCTGTTCACACCAGACGCAGAGCGGAACAGATCTGCAGTGATTTATTTCAGTGCTGAGTTTATGTTTTCCAATTTCTTTCTTCCTGTTAGAGGAAAAATTATAAAATATAGTAAAATGTTTGAAGACTCCAGCGGAAAAACAGCCAAGCACTGAGGGTAAGAGTGAGGGCAGAGCAAGTTAATTGTGTCAATACTAGAGCTACTGGTAAATAATATGACCCGAGGCCGGACGCAGTCCGTGTTAAACCTCTTGAAGCTCCGCATTATGGGATTTGTATCGGAGCATTTTGGTGAAAATTCATATTGTACTTTTTTATTTTATTTTTTTCAATTAATTATCTTTCACTAAATTCATCCATCCTTCCATTTTCTGATGCTCATCAAGGCCTTATTCTCTTCATTATATCACGAGGAATGGCAACCACTGGTATAAAAATGTGTGTAAATAGGACGTTCCTCCTTCATACTAGTATTAAATTATAAACTATTACACAAAGCTCTTACAAACTAATCACCCTGAGGTGTTCTTTCTTGTTTTAAAGAGTGTTCTATTAAATTGGTCATCAAACGTTCCTGCTTCTGTCCTCCTAACAGTGAACTTACTGTCTCATTCATATACATTCCTGCTGTAGATCATTAAAGTTCACTAATCATTCCTTTCTTCCAGGAAGTTCATGTGATTGTGAAGAACGCTCTGCAGCTGTTTTCTCAGGACCGAACCGGCCTGGCCGACTATGCTCTGGAGTCTGGAGGTAACAAACAGTCCCATAAGTTTATCTTGTTTTATAATCTCATAATATGCGTGTTAAGTCTGTGGTTGTCCTGCAGGGGGCAGCATCCTGAGCACTCGCTGCTCGGAGACGTACGAGACGAAGGCCGCCCTGCTCAGTCTGTTCGGAGTTCCTCTCTGGTATTTCTCTCAGTCTCCTCGAGCTGTAATCCAGGTAACACACCTTTCATACTTAATAGGAGGAGAGAATCTATACTGCAGTCAGCCACAGATATGAAACTCAGGAACTCTCTGACCTGCTCCTCCTGCAGCCAGACGTCCATCCAGGAAACTGCTGGGCCTTCAGAGGCTCCACTGGATTCCTGGTGATCCGCCTCTCCATGAAGATCCTCCCCACCGCCTTCTCCCTGGAGCACATTCCTAAAGCCCTGGCACCCAGCGGGACGTTGCACAGTGCCCCCCAAAACTTCAGTGTCTACGTAAGAAAGAGATATTATATATATTTATTTATTACTTTTCTAAAACAGAACACACTACCAGACTGTGTGGATGTTTGTGTTGAACACTGAACTGTGTGTTTTCAGGGTCTGGATGATGAGAGTCAGGACAGAGGGAAGCTCCTGGGCACTTACACCTATGACGAGGATGGAGAAGCTCTACAGACATACCCTGTCACCGTGAGTACAGACATGCACATGATGTTAAGGAAGGTCATTTTTCATTTCTGATTTAAAGGGGAGCTATCAATCAATAAAAGTAATCCCTATGAGCTAAAAGCTCAGATTTCAGATGCCCCTGAATGCAGTGTTTCCAATGTTACAGGACAAGTGTGTAATATTCATAGGTATGTTTTCATTAGTGTATAATCCCCTGAAAACAAGAACCACCCACCTGTCACTCAAAGAGGCCACGCCCTTATTTATACATAACTTTAAGGCTAAATATGATTTTAAAGGGGTGAGTTGTACAGTTATCATTAATAGGGAAAAACCAAAAGGCTGTAGACATCTCCATTTCTGCATTTAAATTTGAATATGGATTTATTTGAGACCATTGGACAGAGGTCTGTTCCACAATCTGCTGTCAGTGACCTCCTTTAAGTCTCTTTTTAAAACAATAAAATACAACATTCTTGTTTTATCCAGTTGGAATTGTCTTTTAAATCCTGATGATTTTATGTTATATTTATTTTATTTGTAATGTGAATTTTAAAAGTGCTCTTTAAATTAAAATGATCATTGTTTTTAATATTTGATATCCACTGAGGTTGCCTCTTGAATTCGAATTGGCACCTGTCGATTTTCAAATCAGCTTTTAAAATGTGTTTGAGTGTAAATTTAATGACATAAAAGTATGCCAATACGCTGATGACACCAAATTCTTCCTATAAATTTAAATTTAACTTTCACACTTCATGTTATTTGTTACTGTTTTTCTTTTCGTCCTGGACAGGAGGAGAGTGACCGAGCCTTCCAGATCATCGAGGTACAGGTGTTGTCCAACTGGGGCCACCCGGAGTATACCTGCATGTACCGCTTCAGGGTGCACGGGATGCCCGCAGACGTCTGAGGACGCTGCAGAGATGATGTCAGATTACATCACCTTCAAGCTAACTGCTGCTAACTGTGCCTGAGAGTCTCAGTGACTGTAAACTCACTGCTTTCCTTCCTGACCAAATGTGACAACGTCTGAGTGTCGCCATTTCCTGTGGAAATAGGCGTATGTATGTATGTATAATTCTTGTCAGTAGTTAATATTTTTATACCAATGTTGTTTTGTGTTTGCTGTTTTAAAAGTCCTTCGTGTTTTAGCCCATTTTTCTGTGTCGTAATAAAAAAAGATGTGAGCAGAAAATCTTGAAACTGGAACTACTTTTGGTCGCTGTAATTGGTCCTCCTGCATAAACTGGTGGTGAAGATATGATGTGATTTAAAGCAGAGGACAGATGAAGTGGAAATCAACCAAAGTTTTTTTGGGTTTTTTTTAGGAGAAAATTTCCTCTTCGTGTTTCCATAGTCTCTGTCTGCTCTCTGAGCCACATTAATAATTTCAGAACGATGCTAATGCTACAGCTGTAGCTGTCTGGTTGTTGTGAGGTGAAGGAATTTACTGGTCAAATGAAATGAGGTTTTTTTTGCACTCTTTAAAAATTACTTGTTTATTTTTTTTTATTAAACACTGTTGGGAAATGATTTTGTTTTTTTACATTAAATATTTGTGGTTTTGTATGTGATTTCAAGCTGAAAGTAATAAAGACGTGAGTTCTTTTTATAAAAGTGTAAAAAGGTTGGTGTGTGAATTGATGACAGATTCACTGATTATTCTCATTGTTATATCAGAGACTGAAGCTCTGTTCACTGTACACTGAGATCAGTAATAATACACACTGATCAATAATGATAATATACACTGTGATCACATCTTCAAACTTTACATCTTAAATCATTTTATTTAGTTTTCTTCACAGAAAGTAATATAATATGGAGATATTGGCTTATTGTATATTTTTCAAGTTTTCTTTCACTTCAAATCTAGAAGGCCTGTGACCCCCATGTGTATCTTTGGCGCCTCCTAGTGGAGGCCTCAACCCCCAGGTCTGGAACCACTGGTGTACGTTCTCATTCCCTAGCACCTCCTTCCCTGTGACATCACGCAGGACTGGAAAGGAGGTGTGCTGTGATTGGGCGGGGACCAGCGTGGAGTCTGTGGAGTCAGAATTAATGACTATAATGTCCTGATCCCACAGAAACATCCTGAACTCGGCCTTACCAAAGAAAGGATCATGGTTTCAATGTAAAGCTGCATGTGAGGGTAAGAGTGCAGGCAGTCTGTAGCTAGTTAAAGAAAAGCAGGAGCTATGTGATTGGCTGAGAGGGGAGAGGCCGGTGATAACGTGACTGATAGAATTATTTCTAGCGTCTTTCCAGCCCTCTGGATTGCTGCCCTTATTACTTAGATCCACGTCACAGCTTCCCATACATGCCTACTGCTGGTCTGGGCCATCAGCCTTTTTTGAGATTAATTTGATTTAAGTAACAATAATCGTAATTTTTTTATATTTTTGGGAGCTTTTATTGCATTTTAGTTGACACAATAATACTAAATTACAGAGGACAGAACAGATACAGGACAGAGGTCAGTGCTTTAGATACAGGGCAGAGGTTATTGCTGTAGATACATTTCAGAGGTCAGTTTAAGTGAAGTCCAATAATTTGACACTACAAGCAATTTCTCTTCACTCTTTTATTTCATGTGCTTTTTCTTTTTTTCTTCTCTGTTTTTGGGCCGTATAAACTTGCACATTGTGCAGCTCTAACTATAAATTACTTTCACATCTTATAACTAGAGGATAAACTATCTGTACAGATACTATACAGTTTCTGAATATTTCAGCTCACATGTTTTGGTCAAAGCATCATAAAAGTCCAACCACTTTAGATGCCTGTGGACACTCACACATAAATAATAATTCAGTTCAATTCAAAAGCGTTTTATTTGAATGGGAAACCGAAGTTTACATTACCAAGGCAAGTGTGAAATAAAAAAGAACAAAAACAAATATATACATACACAGCAGTAATACTAATAATCCTACCATCTACATGACTCAGTGACATTAATATCTGTATTAAAATGAGGAGGAAATACTTCAGTCATGTCATCATCAGACCTGTGGCTACACACCACAAAATCTAAATGTTTGATTTCACATATTAATCATTCCTAATAGGTAGACAAAGTTCTTTTTCTATTAAAAGAAAAATCTGTTTAATATTAATTTGATTTTAAATAACAGATTTGCACTGGATCAAAGCACAAATTGCATTGCAGTTTCTGATAACAGATCCTCCGTAATGTTACACACTGGACCTTTAAGCTAAATTTGCACCAAACAAGCTAAATCAAAACAATTAAGTAAAATTCATACACAACAACCAAAATCTGTAAATACAAAATTAAGCAAAATGTATATAAAAGAAGCAAAAGCCTTAATTGTAAACAAAATCCATAATCACAAAAATAAGTCAAATTCATACAAACAAGCAAAATCCTTAATTGTAAAAATAAACAAAATCCTTAAAGATTAATGTATTTCAGAAGAATCTTTTGTTATATTGGTTAAATTCTCTTTACATCCTGACAGCAGTCAGTAACTCAAATGCTCTGAATAAAGAAAAACAATCTGGTATCTGTGGCTGTTGCAGGCCTGTAATGAGCCCATTGTTTCACTTGGATACTTTCAAAATGTAGCCGTCTATTACTGGTTCTTCTAATGTTACCTACCCGAGCCTTAATCACAGAATGTAAAAATAAAATTCATACAAAATAACCAAAATCATTATTTACAAAAGGACATGAAATTTGGATGAAAGAAGCAAAATCCTCCATTGTAAACAAGCAAATTACAGAATTATTGAAATAATGTTTTTGGTCTTTTCATGCTCAGAGTAGTAAAAATATAAAGTCATACAATAATTTCAGCCAACATGAGGAAAATGTAAAATCCTGGACTTAGCTGATGGTTGTGTGTCAGCTGTGAATCCATGTGGATGTGAGAGGAGCTCCTTGGAGGTCCTACTCTGCTCCCTGAGCACCTTCCTCTTCAGTCGGACCTCCTCCAGCTGCAGGAACACCCAGGTTATAATCATCCAGCTCAATGTTCTCCTGTCTGCCCGGCTTCTGGCCCCTGCTGGCCTGGAGAGACAGGACAGTATGAGTCCTCAGTTCAGTTTAATAAACACAGACTGAGTGCTTCATTTCAGTCAGTCCTCTAAACAACAGACAGTGGCAGTACCTTACAGTAGAAATAGAGGGCGGTGGTCACCACCAGCAGAGTCAGCAGCAGGACGACCACTCTGATCATATGAACTGTTGGATCTGATCAAACACATGGACAGTCATCACATCACAAGGTGTTTTCTCTCAGAATCTGTGAACTACCTGTTATCTGAACACACATCCTGCCTGCAGTGTTGGGGGTGTCGTCCTCCTGCACTTTGGGAGTGGACCATACCTCCCATAGTGAGACATTTGGAGCAACATGGAGCAGACTGTAGACAGACAGACAGACAGACGCCCACTACTCTACACTTCAGGATGTCATTGTCCTGGATAACTTTTGAGTTGAATGGAAACCACTGACGAAGGGAACATTAAAACAACAACATCCTCTATCAGCACCAGTACAGATAAAAAAACAACAGAATCAACCAAAAAAGAACAGTTAAATAATGTACAACACAGAATAAGGGTATTTCCTCCTGTGAAAACCAGACCTAGTAGGTTTTTATGACTGTTATGAAGTTATTATATTTCTAGCTCACAACACTGACCGAAACAAGTGATATTCAGGATGTAGGAAGTGACAGACGATGTTGCACACTCCCTCAGAGCAGATCCAGAATGGACACAGTCAGAACTGATCCACCATGCAGATTTGACTGAGGACTCTTCCTTTGTTACGATTAAAACAGCAGATCCACAGTTCAACTCTCTACACACTACAGATGCTGATGTCAGGTTCCAGTCAGAGCCAATCACTGGTCTCCATTCTCCCTGTTTCACCTCCAGTGTTCCTGCACAGCGACTGTCTCCTCCCACCAACCTGACAGACTCTGAACAGAAACAAGAGAGTCATCAGTAAAAGAATAAAGTGAGTTTCATCAGAACAGAAATGAACCAATCAGAGCTGCAGCTCCTCTTCTACCTGAGCAGGTGAGTCCAACAGCTTTTCCAGGTGAGCAGGTGTTTCTAGCTGAGCCTAAGCTTCTACAGTCCAGGAGAGCAGACTCATTGCCTCCACACTGGAACTCTTTGCTCCACATTGGAGCCTCCACTTCTCCATAGAGCGCCCCCTGGAGGACTGAAGGAGCCCCACAGCCGAGCTCCCTACAGACCACCTCTGCATCCTGCTGGTCAAAGTCATCTTCACACACTGAGGACCACCACTGGTTAGACTGGTTAGACTTCACCTCCAGTCTGCCTGAGCACAGACTAGACCCATTCACCAGCCTTAGAGAGTCTGGAGAGAGAGAATTTAAATCCTGATTCATTTATTTATAATTAATTTGTGACTCTATACTAGGAAAAAGACATCTCATAACAAACAGTTCAGATTCAGAGATTTTTATTGCTAAGTTCACACTAAAAGAATTCGCCGATGCCTTTTCAAAGCCAGAAAAATATCTCTCAGGCTAAATATCTGGCTGTGTCAGAGACAACTTGGGGGGCCACTCCCCACTCCCTATTGTGCTGAACTTGGTGTCAGGTCAGAGCCTAGATGCCAAATATCAACGCTGTAGATTTTCTACAAGGCAAGGTGTTATGATCCACAAAAATGATTTAGATACAAACATATAACATAACTGAGAACATGTGACAGTACATTTATAATAAAAAACTTCAAAGATTACTGTCATAGATAATGTCACTGATGGGCTAACCTGAACAAGTAATCCCCAGGATACACAAAGAAGAATCTGATGATACACACTCCCTCATAGCAGATCCAGACTGGACACAGTCAGAACTCCTCTGCCACACAGATTTGATTGAGGACTCATTTCTGATTTCTGTTGAAACAGCAGAGCCACAGTCCAGCTCTCTGCATGCTACTTCTGCTGACTTCAGGGTCCAGTTAGAGGCATATAATGGTCTCCATTCTCCTCGTTTCATCTCCAGAGTTCCTGCACAGCGACTGGATCCTCCCACCAACCTGAGAGGATCTGAGCAGAAACAAGAGAGTCATCAGTAAAATGAATAGTTGTCAGGTGAGTCCAACAGCTTTTCTAGATGAGCAGGTGTTTCTAGGTAAGCCAGAGCTTTCTCTATACAGGAGACAGTTGCTTTGCACAAAAACATTCCCTAAATGGCGGTGAAATGCACGTATGCATATTTCCCCACAAAAGATGGGATTTGACAATTAGTGTCAAATTATTGGACTTCATCTTAAATATATCATTAGTGTTATTATTATGAGTCATAGAGCCAGTACTGTCCTTTGATCTGCATGTACAGCACTGACCTATGCACTGTATCTACAGCATTGACCTCGATCCTGCATCTGTTCTTTCCTCTGTAACTTAGGTACTATTGTCAAATGGACTCTTCATTCATCTTCATTAACTGAACTGAACTTCATTAGTGTCAAATTATTGGACTTCACTAAAACTGTGAATTAAAGGGTAATATTAATAATATCATTATTGTTACAGTTATATTAATTGATATACATTACAGACCTCGGACCTTTACCTACAGCACTTACTTTATTAACAACAATGTCATTATAATTACTAATATTTTAATAAGAGTACAGACCTCTGCTGTGTATACAGCACTGACCTCTGTCCTGTCTCTGTCCTCTGACTTAGTATAATTGTGAAGTTACTGTTGATGGAATTGATTAAAATGTTATACACATGAGCAATACGGCTTTATGTACAACATTCTCAATGTTGGTTTGCAATCCAATTGAGCATTAAGGACTTATGGCCCCTTTAGTGTATCGGGCAATGCCATTGGGCAAAGTTTGGTAACCAATTACAGACAAAATATAAGCAATACCCAAATACAAACGTATAAGTCTTGTTCAACTTCATCTAAATATGGTATGTACCAATTTTGAAGAAGATTAGATGAAATATGTGTCCAAAGAAGCAAAAAATTAAAATGGCGGGATTGTGTCTCAATAAAATTAACCAAATAATATGTTTGTTTGAGAACTTCTTTCTTTGTGCGTAACAACTTGTAGGCGAGTACCAGAACCGGTAATAGTGTCTGCCTGTTGAGGTTGGCTGCAGAGGCTTCACTAGCATGCATGACTTTAACCTTGTAAGACAAAAATATCAAATAATCCAAAACCTGGCCAGTGTTAAACAGCTTTTAAACCTTGGTATCTTGAAACTGATTCTGATACCAGTAGATTGGTATGGCGCTCACATGTATCAATTAATGATGATGGACACTTTGCCTACCTAAGCTATGAATGCTGTCACAGAGATTGATGAGGAAGTTGTGGATGATTTCCGAGAGATGAGCGAAGTTCATGACAATGTACACATGTATTTCATCAGGATCAGAGGCAATGGCCCTCAGCTCATTCTCATGTGCATTTTGCACACCTGAGAGAAAAATGTTGTGTTAATATTGTGTTCAAAACAAGGAAAGCTTTTTGGCTGGCAAAGTCATAAATTTGTGGTTTCCTGATGCAAGTGAGCTTGAATTGACAGCCAACACTGTTGAACAATTTTGAATCCCATTAACTAGAAATCATATGTACTTGTACATTACTGTTGACTATCTGTTACAGAATGTTCCCCTTGACTTTGTTCCTTCTGAGAAATCATTTGTTTTAGTTCAGTTTACTTTTACTTTTTATATAATTGTCACTTATTAATTTAGTGGTAAAGTATTGTAGTTTGTGTAGGTCATTCTCACTTTACAAACTTTTCTGAGGCTGTACTGCTTTCTCACTATTCAAACTGAAAGTCAATCACCAACAGCGAAGATCTCAATTCCAGCATCCTTCAGGCTCTGTGAGGGAAGGAGTACGTCGTCCTGGGACTCTCCGTCAGTGATCAAAACAACAATTCTTTGGGAGTCTGCTCGCATTCCCATATTGGGGACGAGGTGAAGAGCCATTCCTGTATGACAGAAATAAAGAGGCATTGAAATGGAAAGAGTTAAACACTGGGGGAGTATTTTCTGGTGCCCCTTATTCCAGAAGGAAAACCCCTGACGGGTTGTTGTTCTGAGCCGCATCATTATGATTAATAACATTATTATACTATTAGAATTATTAACAATATGAACAATGTTTTATTCATAATATTGTACCATGACACTATCATGTAACTAGTAATTAGTTACACCAATAGGTATATTACTTTTCTGTTACTCCCCACAGAATTAGTAATTGTGTCTCTCTCTAAGCTCCATTTCAGAGCCAGATCTAACCGCTGCCTCTGGTGCCACAGTCCCTTGTGGTGTGAACCTGGTGTGGACACATGAGGTTAAATCACCTGTCTTGGTGCTTCCTCCTCTGTGATCCAGAGTGTCTATGGCCATTAGAAGGGCTTGTTTGGTGTTGTAGGTGTTCAGGTGCCACTTTATCATTGGGAAGTCACTGTACTGAACCAGACCTGCAGAAAAGACACAGACATGCAGACCCAGCTCTTCTTTTAAAATTAGAATGAAAATAATATATGAATGTGAATGTGAAAATGCAGGATAGTGAGTATTAGTATTAATAGTAGTTGTTGAAGTTAATGGTAGTACAGATTTAAGTATAATGTAAGTAGACTAACTCCTGTACAACATTCAAATACTACTTACAGATTAACACATAATTGAACATGGACAGATACCTTACTTCAAATGAGAAACTCATGCTTTACATTTTGCTGCTTTACTTTTTTACTTTCCTTAAGGTTTTTAAAATAGGACCTGTCCTGAATATTTTTACACTGTGGTGTAACGTTTTGAGATGTTAGTACTAATAATAGTGGTTTAAATATAGTACTTAGAGTGGTAGTAGAATGGTAGTGGTTGTAAAAATATTACCAATCTGGACTCCGTCTGGGCCGATGTTGAAGACTCTGACTATTTCAGCAATAAAGGACAGCATGGTTTGAAAGGCTGTTTGGCTGATGCTTCCGGAGTCATCCACCAACAGCACAATATCAGCCTTGTATGTGGTTTTACAGTAAGCACCTGGAGGAAAACAGAGGATTGTGGGTCCGTGTATGTTTTGGTCATTGGATTTTCCTTTCAGAAACGGGTATTAAAAACAGAAAACGATTTTCGTTTTAAAATACAAAAAATAAAATTTGAATACAAGGTGTTTTTCTTCTTCATGGTCAGAAAGGGATGAGCGAAATTTAAAAAAATATTCGATTTTCATTTTCTATTTCATATAACAAAAAATAAAATCACTAGAAAACAGAAACGGAAAAAAGGCCTGTTGTTTCATATTCTGAGACCGGATGTTGTCATTTACAGGACGGTGCTGTGGAGAAGAAACAGTAGGCTAGTAGACTGCGGTCAATCCAGCCGTGAGTCCGATCCCCATGGTCAAATCCGCCGCACTTAAATTTAGAGTGTACAAGTATTCTCAGCATTATGGTAAATGCGGAGAAACAGCGTATTTACTTCCGGTTTTCAGAATAAAGGTAAACAGTAAGCTATAATTAAAATATGTTACATTTAAGTGTTTCATGCGCCCCTGATGAATAAAAAAAACACTTTATATCAAGTATCTTTACTGCACCAGTGTGGAGAAATGCCAAAATAAAAGTCTCATATTTATGCCTCCAGAGATTGCATATTTGACCATATTTGAGCTACTGTAAAAACATATTGCTCAGTGTCTCCTGGCTACTGATGGTATATTTGACTTTTACACATATGAGACTACAAGTATACTTAATATCAAGCATTTTTACTGTACCAATTTGGAGAAATTGAAGAATAAAAGTCCCATATTTATACTTCCAGATTCCATATTTTCTTATATTTTTGAGCTACTGTAAAAACATATTGCTCAATATTTCCTGGCTATGGGTGAAGCATTTTCATTATACTTCAATAATGCTGCAGTAATCATGACAAAATTTCACACAAATTTTTAATAACATCTTGATAATATAAACACTAAACATAAAATCCTACACAATTCTAATTTGTTTACTTTTCACACAAAATGCAATGCCAGTCCACATTCTTCTTATTTTGCTGCTCTGCTGTGTCCATTTGAAGGTAAAAGGGAAAAATAATTAGTTTTAACTTCAAAACACCATTGTACCTACTGTCTCTTCCTCACATATTATTTTTTATATTATTCAGTGTGACAGCTGTTGCAGGTGGTTCCAAATACAGTTTACATTTTTACAGTAGCTCAAATATAAGAAAATATGGAATCTGGAAGTATAAATATGGGACTTTTATTCTTCAATTTCTCCACATTGGTAGAGTAAAAATGCTTGATATAAAGTATACTTGTAGTCTTAGATGTGCAGAAGTCAAATATATCATCCATAGCCAGGAATTATTGAGCAAAGTGTTTTTACAGTAGCTCAAATATATGAAAATACCACTTGGAGGTACAAATATGGACTTTTATTGTTGAATTTCTCCAAATTGGTACAGTAAAAATGCTTGATATTAAGTATACTTGTAGTCTCATATGTGTAAAAGTCAAATATACCATCAGTAGCCAGGAAACACTGAGCAATATGTTTTTACAGTAGCTCAAATATGGTCAAATATGCAATCTCTGGAGGCATAAATATGAGACTTTTATTTTGGCATTTCTCCACACTGGTGCAGTAAAGATACTTGATATAAAGTGTTTTTTTATCCATCAGGGGCACAACACTTTAATGTAACATATTTTAATTATAGCTTACTGTTCTAAACACCTTTATTTTGAAAACCGGAAGTAAATACGCGGTTTCTCCGCATTTACCATAATGCTGAGAATACTTGTACACTCTAAATTTAAGTGCGGCTGATTTGACCACGGAGATCGGACTCACGGCTGGATTGACCGCAGTCCACTAGTCTACTGTTTCTTCTACACAGCACTGTCCTGTTAATGACAACATCCGGTCTCAGAATATGAAAAAACAGGCCTTTTTTCTGTTTCTGTTTTCTAGTGATTTTAGACTCACGAGAGACTTATGGCCTCCACTCTTATGGCCTGGACTCTTTGCCTACCCAAGTTATAAGCGCCGTCACAGATGCTGATGATCAATTTCTTGGCGATGTTCGAAAGAAGCGAAAAGTCCTTGACTCTGTAAACGTGAAGTTTTTTGGGATTGGAGCCAATGGACCTCAGTTCAGTCATGTTGGCTTCACGCACACCTGAGAGAAAAATGGAGAGTTAATACTGTGCCGAATAAAATGAGACCTAAAACAAAGAAAACTATTTGGTTGGCAAAGTAATAAAACTGTGGTTTCCTAAAGCATAAACTGAACTTTAATTGGCAGACAGTGCTACAATATAATACTTAACATTAGTGTTGAATATCTGCAAAAGAACATCCCATTTTCACCTTGATATTCTTCCTTCTGAGCAGCCAGTGCATTTAGTTCAATTTAGTCCAATATTAAAATCAACTGGCAAAGGCTTGAAACATGCTTGATTTGAATTTCATAGTGTTACTTATTTATTTTGTGGTAAAGTGTTGTACTTAAGAGTATTATTGAGCCCATACATCCTTTACAGTTTTCTGAGGCTGAACTGCTTTCTCACTATTCAAACTGAAAGTCAATCACCAACAGCGAAGATCTCAATTCCAGCATCCTTCAGGCTCTGTGAGGGAAGGAGTACGTCGTCCAGGGAATCTCCGTCAGTGATCAAAACAACAATTCTTTGGGAGTCTGCTCGCATTCCCATATTGGGTGTAAAGATATTATGGAGGACGTAGAGCAGAGCACTTCCTGTATGACAATTTACAAAACAAAACAAAACAATGCATGAATGTTTTATGTTCCGTACCTTTTTAATGACAAAATCTCCAAAATGTGTTATTTGCCAACTTTTCACACACAACTGTAAAGAGGCATCGAAAGGCAAAGAGTTAAACGTTTGGGGAGTTATTTCTGGTGCCCCTTGTTCCAGAAGGAAAACCCCTGACAGGTGGAACACTTTAACAACTACAAGAAGCCTGTGGTCATAAGAACTAAAGGAAGACGACAACTACTACTCTCAAGATGCTTTGCAGTTAGAAACATCCAATCACTGAGCTTCAAATTCTGTGGTGAGCCGCTTGCCTAATTACGATTATTAACATTATTTTATTATTATAATTATTTTCACTATTACTATAACAATATCAACAATCTTTCATTCATAATATTGTACCATGATACTATAATGTTATATCACAATATTGTCTGTAACACTTTTACAATACCATTATTATCAATGCTTTCATAACAATATTATTACCATCTTACTTTTACCGTAACACTGCTATCACTGAACTCAATATTATCAAAACAAACAGTATGAGGCAAAATAAAATAAAAGAATAGAACTTTGTCTGAAGTTTGAATTTTAAAGGAAAATAAATTCTCAAACATATTCCTAAGTAGAGTTTTCCTGAATAATCTGTTGAGTGACTGGACATTCACACTTTCCTCCTGTTTCCCTCCACTGATGGACCCAAATACAGAAAATAAACAGATTTGGCTCCATTTCAGAGCAAGATCCAACCGCAGCCTCTGGTCCCACACTCCCTTGTGGTGTGAACCTGGTGTGCACAACATGATGTTAAATCACCTGTCTTGGTGTTTCCTCCTTGCTGTTGCAGATTTTCTATGGCCTTCAGCAGGGCTTGTTTGTTGTGGTGGGTGTTCAGGTGCCACTCTGTCTTTGGGACGTCACTGTACTGAACCAGACCTGCAGAACAAAATATATTGAACCAGCCCTTCTTTTAAAATGATAATCGTGATAATCAAGGACGAAATTTTGATTTCAAAGGTGGGGGGGACACAAGCATTTTTAATAAAACTCTAACTCTTTCATTTCACTGTGTTTTCTAGTAGTTCTTCTAGTTTTCTATTGCTACTTTTAAGTTTACTGTTCCCTTTTTTGGTTTGACTGGTTGTAAAGCATGTAGCAAAACATTATCACCCAATTTTATGTTTCACCTTGTTGGTCAACATCACACACATACACACACACATGCACATGGACACCGATTCAAACGTTACTGTAAATGAAATGAAATGAAACCTCTGATATTACAATCCCTCTAGCTGACGTGACCCAAGCAGATCAAACGCCCAATTTACAGTGGCAGATTAATAAGGACTCCTGGGCAACTAGCAGACCGGTGTGCAAGCAAGATGGAGTGACAGCGGGGACGGCCAATCACACAAGGAACGGCAGAGCCAATCGAGTGGCCGTTTTCCGCTTGGTCCTAGTGCTTGACGAGTTTCTGTTGACTATAGCGTAACATTGGTTTTGGACGGTACAAACTGTAGGGGACCGAAACGGCCTTTTGAAAAAGTGCAGGGGACATGTCTCCTGTGCCCCCCCCAAATTACATCTGTGATGATAATAACTATGATAATATTGCATATTTTTTAAACAATTAAAAATTAACAAGTGATGTGATTCAAAGAAATGTAGAAAAAAAATGCAGTAAGTGATGTGCACATGTTTTTCATGTGTATTTCCTTGTGTACATTTTCTATGTCATAATCAAATGAAAAACATATCTCAAAAGTAAAATTCATTTCATTAAACTCCATCAACTGGGAGGTCAAATGTCCCTGAGTGAGTGGATCTCAGACTCCTTGTAGCAGAGGAAGCAGATTGTCAGAGTTAACAAGATCTCAAAGTATACTGATAGTACTAGTTACACAAGTAGGGACAATAGTAGCACTCGCAGTTACTTTATGTGGCTGCAGTAGAATCTATAATGTGGCAAAAAGGATAGTGTTAGTATTAACAGTAGTAGTTGTAGTTAGTACCTTCAAATGAGAAACTTATCATACTTTATATTTTGATGCTTATCTTTACTTAAGTTTGGTTAAAATTGTGGGTACAGGACCTGTATCTGCATGTTTTTCTACATTGCAATGAAAATATTAGAGATGTGAGTACTAATAATAGTGGTTTGAATATAGTACTTAGAGTGGTAGTAGAATGGTAGTGGTTGTAAAAATATTACCAATCTGGACTCCGTCTGGGCCGATGTTGAAGACTCTGACTATTGCAGCAATAAAGGACAGCATGGTTTGAAAGTCTGTTTGGCTGATGCTTCCGGAGTCATCCACCAACAGCACAATATCAGCCTTGTATGTGGTTTTACAGTAAGCACCTGGAGGAAAACAGAGGATTGTGGGATACAGTATGCCACAGACTCATGAGAGACTTATGGCCTCCACTCTTATGGCCTGGACTCTTTGCCTACCCAAGTTATAAGCGCCGTCACAGATGCTGATGATCAGTTTCTTGGCGATGTTCGAAAGAAGCGAAAAGTCCTTGACTCTGTACACGTGAAGTTTTTTGGGATTGGAGCCAATGGACCTCAGTTCAGTCATGTTGCCTTCACGCACACCTGAGAGAAAAATGGAAAGTTAATACTGTGCCGAATAAAATGAGACCTAAAACAAAGAAAACTATTTGGTTGGCAAAGTAATAAAACTGTGGTTTCCTAAAGCATAAACTGAACTTTAATTGGCAGACAGTGCTACAATATAATACTTAACATTAGTGTTGAATATCTGCAAAAGAACATCCCATTTTCACCTTGATATTCTTCCTTCTGAGCAGCCAGTGCATTTAGTTCAATTTAGTCCAATATTAAAATCAACTGGCAAAGGCTTGAAACATGCTTGATTTGAATTTCATAGTGTTACTTATTTATTTTGTGGTAAAGTGTTGTACTTAAGAGTATTTCTGAGCCCATACATCCTTTACAGTTTTCTGAGGCTGTACTGCTTTCTCACTATTCAAACTGAAAGTCAATCACCAACAGCGAAGATCTCAATTCCAGCATCCTTCAGGCTCTGTGAGGGAAGGAGTACGTCGTCCAGGGAATCTCCGTCAGTGATCAAAACAACAATTCTTTGGGAGTCTGCTCGCATTCCCATATTGGGTGTAAAGATATTATGGAGGACGTAGAGCAGAGCACTTCCTGTATGACAATTTACAAAACAAAACAAAACAATGCATGAATGTTTTATGTTCCGTACCTTTTTAATGACAAAATCTCCAAAATGTGTTATTTGCCAACTTTTCACACACAACTGTAAAGAGGCATCGAAAGGCAAAGAGTTAAACGTTTGGGGAGTTATTTCTGGTGCCCCTTGTTCCAGAAGGAAAACCCCTGACAGGTGGAACACTTTAACAACTACAAGAAGCCTGCGGTCATAAGAACTAAAGGAAGACGACAACTACTACTCCCAAGATGCTTTGCAGTTAGAAACATCCAATCACTGAGCTTCAAATTCTGTGGTGAGCCGCTTGCCTAATTACGATTATTAACATTATTTTATTATTATAATTATTTTCACTATTACTATAACAATATCAACAATCTTTCATTCATAATATTGTACCATGATACTATAATGTAACTCGTAGCTAGTACTAGTACACTAAGTATATTACTTTTCTGCTACTCCCCACAAATTGGTAATTGTGTCCCATCTCTCCATATGTCAGACTTATGACAATTAAAACCCAGTTTTGTTTGTTAAAAGCAAAGTAATGGAGTATCTCCAGCATGTCCTGAATGTTAGCCTTTCATCTTCAAAAATACTTTCCTTCACGATTACCAAAATTAATCCAAAGATGTGATTGGATTGTTGGATTTCAGATCAATAGGAGGAGACAACAAAAGTAATAGTAGTAGTAGTTACTAATTATTTTTATTCGGGGTGACTGTACTATTAATATTGATATGTATTAGTAATTTGTTACATTACTAGTTACTGGGGAGAGTAATATTATCACTAGTAATATCATACTGTGAAACACTGATCATAACACTATAATGACAATAATATTATCAGTCCTATTTGTACTATCACTGCACTAAGTATCTTTATAATAACAAACAGCATAAAACATTGTTATTAAACTTCATCTCAAGTCTCTTTTCTGAACATACTTTGTCTTCAAACTTCCTCATTGTATACAGTATAGACCATAGTATACATACTGAATACTTAACCTTAACGTTCTTATAAAATACTGATCACTAACAGCTTCACTTCCCTCCACTGATGGACCCTAATACAGAAAATAAAGAGATTTGGCTCCCTTTCAGAGCCAGTTCCAACCGCAGCCACTGGTCCCACCTAGTTTGACAACATGATGTTAAATCACCTGTCATGGTGTCTCCTCCTTGCCGTTGCAGATTTTCTATGGCCTTCAGCAAGGCCTGTTTGTTGTGGTGGGTGTTCAGGTGCCACTCTGTCTTTGGGACGTGACTGTACTGAACCAGACCTGCAGAACAAAATATATTGAACCAGCCCTTCTTTTAAAATGATAATATTGAGTTTATTTAATTATTTATTACAAAGGGATGTGAATTAAAGGTCTGGTGTGTAACATTTAGGATCTATTGTCAGAAATGTAATATAATATTCATAGGTATGTTTTCATCAGTGTATAATCGCCTGAATAGAATTGTTCTGTTTTGATTACCTTAGAATGAGACGCTTTTATTTACTTCTATAGCACATCTGCCATGTTTCTACAGTAGCCAAGAGTGGACAAACCAAACACTGGCTCTAGGGCCTTTTTTACGTTTTTTGTGAGATTAACGGCTAGATGTCACTAAATCCTACACACTGGTCCTTTAAACAAATTAAATTTGAATACATTTTATTTGTGTAACACCAAATTATTAATTATTACAGTTTTAAAATAGAGAATATAAGACTCCTTATAAAATAGTATTTACAGAGACAAAGAAAGGAATAGAGTAATTCAGTGTAGATGCGCACTGCAGCATCTGTAGCCGGGCTGTATGATGAACTCCTGCAACTGGAGGCCAAACATCCCTGAGTCAGTGGATTTTGGACTTCTGGCAGCAGGCGAAACAGATTATCAGGGTTAAGAAATTCTCAAAGTTGAGGTGAGTCTGGGTAAGCACCACTAAACATCCACGTAAGGAGCTGATCACACAACGAAGCATGGCTACAGGTGTAGCTCCTTCAAAAACACCTTGTCAAAGACAGGTATCAGGCAGCATGTACAAATGGGATTTGCAGAAAAATGTATTGAAGCTGACGTTCAAAGAGGAGGATACCTGAGGTTAGCTGGGTTTACACCTGACTACAACCCTAGCCAGCTACAGCTAGCTAACAACATCAAACAGGAAGTGGTGAGAGTAAAAGTAGTACTTGGACTAAATATTTTCACATTGTGATAATTACTGTGTACAGATAAAAAAATATAAGGCCTTATATAAGTGCATTACACTTCATGCCAAATTGACACACGTTGATCGCAGAAGCTTCCATGTGAGGTGGAAACTGCTTATCAGAAAGGGAAACACATTCATTTACACACATTCATACACTAATGCACAGCATCAGGAACAATTTGGTGTTCAGTATTCGGCTCAAGCGCACTTTGACATGCAGCGAGAGGAGCCGGGGATCGAAAGGTCAACCTTCTGATGGTCGACAAGCTCTATAATAGTACTGATAACAATACACAGATAGCAGTGGTAGTGTTAATAGGAGTGGTCAGAGTTGGGTGGAAGTCAGAATTATTTTCTAGCCGATACGATAACGATGAGTTGTATTAGTTACTGAAGATAATCAAACTTTCTGCCCTTTACTGTGTATCGCCTCGTAAAGCACTGTTGTAACAGCATTCCTTAATGACATCTCACCTTGATGCAGATAGTTACTATGGTAACTACTCAAATACCGACACACACATAATAACAGATGGTGAATTAACAGTGTTAATTTAAGTTCACTTATTTTAGTGATAAATAATAATTGGTCTTCTCCCACACACAGCGGAGGTTGTAGAGAGATAAGGAGACAAAATGTCTTTGTTTATAGATGATATTGATCAGAATACACTGTATCTTTACGGATGATATTGATCAGTATACACTGTATCTTTATAGATGATATTGATCAGAATAAACTGTATCTTTATGGATGATATTGATCAGAATAAACTGTATCTTTATGGATGATATTGATCAGAATAAACTATATCTTTATGGATGATATTGATCAGAATAAACTGTATCTTTATGGATGATATTGATCAGTATACACTGTATCTTTACAGATGATATTGATCAGACGGCCTTTAGCTCGTGTTTCTGGAGTTACGTGTTGTTACGGACACGTTAGGAATTGTTAAAATGGGATATTTCTTAAAGCGAGTTTGGTGTCATATATTCTAAATCCTCTGTGTAAGTCTCCTGTGTCTCTCTCCTCGCCTCCCCTGCTCACATCTCTGGTGGGAGGGACTAAAAGGTGTGGAGAGGAGGTACAAACTGGGAAATTAGAAAGGCCTTATAGTTACTTCTACTATAAACAAACACAAACAGATATATGTCAAACCCACAGAAACGCCACTCATACGCAAAAAAGTGGATTACAACAACAACTTGGAAAACTTTATTGACCACTCCTACCTAACGTTACAGTGCAACACGCTATTTACCTCTTCCACAGCCACCAGCCACCCACTCAGACCACAAACAACAAATAAATAAATACACTCTATAAACGTAAACGGAACTAGCTGGTCATACACAAACTGTTACCTAATTGTAAACTAATACAACAGTGACCACGATGCGTTCTAAGATATCGTTGGGTTTAGTTTTTACACAGCTGTAACAACACTGGCAGCAAACAGCGGACACACAATTTACATTAATGCTGAATTAAAGATTGTTTGTTTGTTTGTTTCATTTATTGTCCACAATGTGGAAATTTGTCTTTGGTCTCATAAAAACAACAAGCAGGACGGCAACAACAACAACACTTACACTCAAACATCTTCAGGGCAAAAAGCAGGACAGCAATGGCAGTTACATTAAAAACGCATCAACGGGACATGGTGTTCAGTTCTTGGCACTCGGGATGAAGGAAAGGAAGATACACTTCAAACAGCAGAGAAAGAGGTTCAACGGCATGTTACACCTGTAACATGCACACAATTATATGACCCTGAATCAGTTCCCTACTGTCCTATATATGAACAATGTGGTCTCTCAATAAAATTATTATCAATTAAAATCCAAGTCTAACATTGCTTACACTTATCGTTCTAACATTTGAGCGGCCAGTAAGTTAGATAATGAGACACATTCATGTACCTTCCTTTGTAGGTTTTGTAGTGACAGATAAAGATTAAGTTGGATGTTGCGGTGGTGGCGACAGCAGTTCTCTTCTTACTAATGTTATCAATGACATAATCCTTCACCCCAAACTTGGACTATTGCTCTCCATGTTATCTGTGTTGTGTGCTTCTGCTGTGTCCTAGTAGGTTGTCATGTTTGCGCACATTGCTCTAGAAATCACTCAATCATGTTTCACTTAGTTAAATATAGTAACATATTAAGTACTTTCAAGTCTTCTATCTCAAGTCTAAGGCATGTCTCAACTCATGAATACCAAATCAAAGTCAAACTGAGTCATTTGTTCGTTAAGCAAGTCTCAAGTCCTCAAATATGCGATTTACAAGTCATGTACCTTAAATCCCCCATGTCTGGTAGTGGTAGTAAATATATTACCAATCTGGACTCCGTATGGGCGGATGTTGAAGTTTTTGACTATTGTAGAAACAAAGGATCGGATGCTTTGAAAGTCTCGACGGGAGATGCTTGAGGAGCCATCCACTAACAGCACGATGTCAACCTTGTTGGTAGTTTCACACTGAGCCGCTGGAGGAAAACAGAGGATGGTGGGATCCAAAGGACTGAACATATAAGTCAGACTAACAACAATGCTAGCACCCTGGGAGGCTTATTAAGACTCAGAACAGAACACTAACTTTACGCACTAAACACAAAGTCAGCTAATGTCATTAGTTTTGCAGATATTTTGTCATAAACTAAAGTTTTGTACAAATAATAATAATAATAATAATAATAATAATAATAATAATATTTATTTCTTGTGATGTGCCCCAAGGTTCAATCCTGGGCCTCCTTCCTATCTATCTATAATAGACTTTAATATGATGACTCACAGCTCTATATCTCTGCTTCACTGGATGATCTAAGCCCTGTCGGCTGTCTTGTAAAATACATTTCTGCATTTACATATCTAATCTATTTTTAATACATGAAATATTTAAATATCTCATCATTGGGGAACAGGCAAAACGAGACCATATATTCACTAAACGTCTTTTTTTTCTTTCTTTGCCAAGGTGTCAAAACTCTGAGTCATTAGTTAATGTGCAATAAGTCAATTAAGTGCAATTCCCAGGTCAAGCAATACCTTTTACATTTACTTTGTATATAGGCTCTTATTATTTTATTATATCTCTTAGGCTCTTTTAAAGTTCTGTTTTGTCTTGTTATGTAAAATAATAATAATAATTCCCCTCAAATGCATCAAAACTAAAGTATCAAGCTTGTTTTGAAAATGTAAGTAAGTACAGATATTTATATTTAAATATAGGGGTTAAATGTAAAAAGTAATCAGAAAAATGATTACGGTTGATCCATCCATCCACCTCATTTATCTTTATGTTCTCTGTTTACCTGTTGAGACGTGTTGTCCTTCAGCCCAGAGTCCTGAGGAGAAAATCAGAAAGAGAAAAATATGAAGCTGTTTTCTGATTGGAGCTGAGCTGTAAAATGTCAGCAGGGAGACCCCCCCTGGGGTTATTAAAGTGATTCTGATTCTGATCATATGACCACATGACAGATGGGTAATGTGATCAAACCTTTACAAAAAGCAACAGATTTGTTGAAGTTAAAATCTGACTTTTACAAATGTACAAAAATGTTATATATATAACGTAAAATGGTTGATGAGTTATTAGTAACAATGTAAAATGCTATTGAAGTACTTATTGAAGATTTTCTCATTTTTTAAAGAAGGCAACAAAGCACACACAAGGTACATGTATGGACAGAAAAATAAAATAAATAAAAATACACATTGGCCTGTTTGTAGAGGGTCCGTGTATGTTTTGGTCATTGGATTTTCCTTTCAGAAACAGGGATTAAAAACAGAAAACGAGTGGTTATTTGATTTTCGTTTTAAAATACGAAAATTAAAATTGAAATACAAGGCGTTTTTCTTTTTCATGGTCAGAAAGGGATGAGCGAAATTTAAAAAATTATTCGATTTTCTTTTTCTATTTCATATAACAAAAAATAAAATCACTAGAAAACAGAAACGGAAAAAAGGCCTGTTGTTTCATATTCTGAGACCGGATGTTGTCATTTACAGGACGGTGCTGTGGAGAAGAAACAGTAGACTAGTAGACTGCGGTCAATCCAGCCGTGAGTCCGATCTCCGTGGTCAAATCAGCCGCACTTAAATTTCGAGTGTACAAGTATTCTCAGCATTATGGTAAATGCTAAAATATAAGAAAATATGGAATCTGGAAGTATAAATATGGGACTTTTATTCTTCAATTTCTCCAAATTGGTACAGTAAAAATGCTTGATATAAAGTATACTTGTAGTCTTAGATGTGTAGAAGTCAAATATACCATCCATAGCCAGGAATTATTGAGCAATATGTTTTTACAGTAGCTCAAATATATGAAAATACCACTTGGAGGTACAAATATGGACTTTTATTGTTGAATTTCTCCAAATTTGTACAGTAAAAATGCTTGATATTAAGTATACTTGTAGTCTCATATGTGTAAAAGTCAAATATACCATCAGTAGCCAGGAAACACTGAGCAATATGTTTTTACAGTACCTCAAATATGGTCAAATATGCAATCTCTGGAGGCATAAATATGAGACTTTTATTTTGGCATTTCTCCACACTGGTGCAGTAAAGATACTTGATATAAAGTGTTTTTTTATTCATCAGGGGCACAACACTTTAATGTAACATATTTTAATTATAGCTTACGGCTCTAAATACCTTTATTTTGAAAACCGGAAGTAAATACGCTGTTTCTCCGCATTTACCATAATGCTGAGAATACTTGTACACTCTGAAATTTAAGTGCGGCTGATTTGACCACGGAGATCGGACTCACGGCTGGATTGACCGCAGTCTACTAGTCTACTGTTTCTTCTCCACAGCACCGTCCTGTAAATGACAACATCCGGTCTCAGAATATGAAACAACAGGTCTTTTTTCTGTTTCTGTTTTCTAGTGATTTTATTTTTTGTTATATGAAATAGAAAATGAAAATCGAATATTTTTTAAATTTCGCTCATCCCTTTCTGACCATGAAAAAGAAAAACGCCTTGTATTTCAATTTTCATTTTTGTATTTTAAAAGGAAAATCAAATAACCACTCGTTTTCTGTTTTTAATACCTGTTTCTGAAAGGAAAATCCAATGACCAAAACATACACGGACCGTAGAGGTATCTTGGGATTCAATATATAAGTCCATGAATAGTCATTTCATCATCAGCAAGGAAGTTATAAAAGATGTTCCAAATCTCCAAAACATGTCAAGGCTGTTTTTTGCTGTGACTGATCTTTTCCAAAGCCATGTAAAATGTCATTCCCTTTAGCCATTGTGAAGTGGCACAGGGTGTATCTGATTTCCATGAGGAAGCTATATATCACTTGGCTTCCAAAAGCAAATATTAAGTAGAGATCTTACTTTTTTGGAGGCGTTAAAGCCATCTGGGTAAAGGTTTAATAAATATAATTTAGGATTCATTGGCACATCCTCACCAATGATTTGTCTTGCTAAATATAAGATTTTTCTCCATAATGTGAATCTGTCGGCATTCCCACATACAGTAAAAGAGTGTCCCCTTTTGGTCTTTGCATTTGAGGCAGGTCTTAATATCAGTGCATGCAGCCAAGTTACTTCCTAATTGCAGGTAAATCATTATTTATTCTCAAAAAAAGTGGCCATGATTATTTTTGTAATATCTGTACCGCAGATAAAGGTTTAAATATTGAAAACATTAGTTAAATAGTATTTCTGAAAGAAACAAAGGAAGTATTTGCAGTAACCAAACACTCATTAGGTATAGTGTAGAATGATCGTCCCCCGTTAGCAATGTAGGAGTGTGTGTGTGTGTGTGTGTGTGTGTGTGTGTGTGTGTGTGTGTGTGTGTGTTTGTGTGTTTGTGTGATTGTGTGTGTGTGTGTGTGTGTGTGTGTGTGTGTGAGTGTTTGGGTGTGTGAGTGTGTGTGTGTGTGTGTGTGTGTGTGTGTGTGTGTGTGTGGGTTGGCATTCATCACATTCTGGGGACAACAAACTGTTTACACAGTCACGTCATGGGGACCTCTGACAGTATGGGGACGAAAAATGAGGTCCCCTAAAGGGAAACTCTTTTAAATGAATGCAGGAGTCTATCTGAAGGTGCCTGTGTGGTTTTTTAGCTTTGGCCCATTGGGCATGTTTTCCAGTTAGTGTGTGTGTGTGGAACGGGGCACGCTTGCGCCCTTACAGTTTGAGCTGGTAAGGCACTCACCGTTCCACACACACAGATCTTCCAAATATGGTTTGTTACCGCCCACTTCCTGGTCCTCATTAAGAATGATTATAGAAGCAAACACAATTTTCCGTGTTTAAAGGGAGCAATCGCAAAGGCTCTTCATTTAAAGATGTTTGTTGGATAAAAGAGGAACTACACACAACAAGGTAAGCATTATTGTCTTATTTACTTACTTGCTATGATCATTATTTGTATAGATGACCATTTTAACCCACAAATGAGGTTAATTAGTGTTAATTAGTTAGTAGGACAGCAAGTTAGCTTTAATTAGCCACAGAAGCCAAGTGTAACTTGCAAATTAACAATGTTTTACTAACAATGATTTTAGTTTTCCCTTAAAGCTACTGTTAGTTGTTAGATAATGGAATTCTGTGCATTTCAAGGAGTTTATACCAACTAAAAAATAAATAAAGGGAAATACTGTTTGGATTAGCTGCTGCTCAAATGTAATCCTATTGGAAATTAATTGGTAAAATTATCTTATTAGTCTTACTTTCTTATTCATGACTTTGTTTATATTTGTAGTGAAGTGAAACCTAAGTGATTTTTTTTTCAGTGTTTAACAGATAAATTTAAAGTATATTTCCAGGTATTGAATTTAGCAATATAATGCTGCAAATATGAATTTACTCCCCTTAGTCATAGTAAAGGTGTTATTAAATCCTAGGTTTATATAGGTGAGATATATTACATACAAATTTGACATATTGTGTGTGCAGAGATATTTTTCTATCTAAAATACAATGAAATACAGCAAGCTGTCCATGTTAAGAGAAAGTGCATCTGGCCAGGTATTTTTGGGACCTGAGCTTGACAGGGCTGCAATTTGATTTGTATATCTTTAAAGTGACTAGTGAAGTGATTCCACATGCCTCCTCTACATAAATTGGTCCTGATTGATTTTACTACCTGATAAAAGGAAACTCAGCTATCATTCCACAACAGTTCCTCCACATTTAACTCAGATATGTCTTTTAAAAGTGTTTCTGAAGAGGCAGTATGATAAATATGAGAAATCTTAAAGGTTTGCAGTTGCTTTTTTTGTGTCTAATATTGTAAGTTACAGAGCTAAGCCTCTGAACACCCACACAGGTGTTTTCAGTTTATCTGGCTGATTAGTCGTCTACTTGGGACTGTGTGGGTGCGTGTACTGTGATTGATTGGCATCTTCCTGAGTCTTCTGTCAGCTTGTTACACCTGTTAGGGCAGGACAAAATATACCTTCACCATTCTTATTGGAGATTGAGATTTGCTACCTAATGAAGTTCCATCAAAGCTTAAGCCCACCCTTAATCTTAGCAGAGGTTTAATCAGCCATGATAACTGAAAACACCTGTGTGGGTGTTCACTTAAAGCCTCTAATTGTATTGTAATAGAACTGAAGCCAAAGCTGTCTCATTCATTAAACATTTCTCTGCAGTTTGAAATGCCACCAAGGGTCAGTCCCCTTAAGGATGCCCTTCAGCATCTGCATTCAAAGACTGACAAAACAAGTAAACTAGAGGTGAAATACATAAATGCAGTGAAAGGTAAGATTATGTCAGATGTGGTTATTTAGCATTACTAATTGTTACTGCATATACATATAGACAATGATAATGCATGATCATTCCATACTAAAGTCATTTAATTGCAAAACTTCAGATGCATTAGATAAGCTTATGTCAATCAAGCTGCCATTGAATGCACTAATAATTGGAAACGTGTTTTTAGTACATATTGCCACAGACTAATTAACTTTTGTGAAGTCCTGTTTTTTGAAAATGTATTATTTTGTCTTACAGGACGTGGCATATTTGCCCTATCTTCATTCTCCAAAGGAGATTTTGTACTTGAATACAGAGGAGACATGATAGATAATGCAGAATCCCAAAGGAGAAGACGCATTTACCACCCATCATGTGTTGCATTCATGTTCTCATTCAAGTGGAGAGGGAGAACATGGTGGTAAGATTTTAAATTACACCTAAACTATACTCCTTATGCTAAACCATAATAATCTCCTTACACTTTGCTCATAGTTAAAATGAAGGCACTGATTTTGTTGTATACATTGTGTGACACATAGTATGTAGGGTCTATCATCCTGCGATGTAATTGAACTGTACAAAGGTTTGACATATATCTTGAGTAAGAAGAACTGAAAGAGATGATTGTGTAATATTGTTTTCCCCTTTTTCTTGTTGTCCTGAAGTATTGATGCTTCGCAAGAAGACGGATCATTTGGACGGCTTGTCAATGATGAGCACATACGTCCGAACTGTAGGATGAAAAGGATTGACGTCGATAGGAAACCACACTTGTGTTTGTTTGCCTTAAATGATATACAACATGGAGAGGAAATTACATATGACTACGGAGGTGAAGACTGCCCATGGAGAATGCAAGTATGTACTACAGTGTTGCAGAATGTCATAACTTTACCAAATGTAATTTATCTTCATTTCTTTTTACGATGAAGTATGTTTAGGATGTTAATGGCAGATGACAAGACTCATAAGAATCTTTCAACATGTGTGAAAGCAGACAGAGGTTGATGGAGGAGGAGGAAATATAGAATTTGATTTTTTGTTTGAAGTTCTGTGCCTGTTGGTGTGAATTTAACTTTAGAAATGTGTCATTAAGAATATGCAGTAGTGTAATTAAACATTATGCAGTGAAAACATCAGACTGAATACTTTTTCATATTTTGAAATGTCATCAGATGACCATGAATGCAGCTGATGTCATCATTCCTGTGGACAGCTCCCACCCTGCTGACTTGTTAGAGACTCGGATGGATGAAACTGCCCAAGACACTAATCAACAGGTACATTCATGTTTATCACTATAGCTTCACTCCTTGAATCTTTCTCACTCACCGTCTGTTGCTTATTCCATCCTTCATGGTGGTAAATACATTTATTATGATGGTAATCTGTTATGAATCAGAAGTCTCAAGCTGTTTTATGTAATGCATCCAGAAAGCTAATGGTAATATGTAATGGGATATGTAGGACACATGATTTTTAACCCTTAATTTTGTGCCTGTTGGCATGAATTTAACTTTAGCAATGTGTCATTAAGAATATGCACTAGTGCAATTAAATGTTACGCAGTGATAACCTCAAACTGAATACTTGTTTTATATAATTTGAAATGGTTTTATTGTGAAATGTTTGCAGATGACCATGAATGCGGCTGATGGTGTCATTTCTGGGGAAAGCTCCCACTCTGCTGTCTTGTTAGGACCACACATGGACGAAACTGCCCAAGACACTAATCAACAGGTACCTTCATGTTTAGCACTTTAGATTTACTCCTAGAATATTTTTAACTCGCCGTTTGTTGCTTTTTCTGTCCTTCAAGCAGGTAAATAAGCTGTTTTTTGAAATGCATCTAGAAAGCTCATGGTAATGTTATATTTTGGACAGATTTAAACATTTACAGGGATGTTCTTTTTGATAAAATATCACTCTATTCTGGGACATTCACGACGTCCCCACAGTACACCTTACGTCAGTGTTTGAATAGAAACTGTGTGTTAAGTATTTGACAACCTAAATACTTGGTCTACAATTGGTCCCCATAAGGAACCTCGACATGGTGTGTGATATGTCCCCACTAAGCTTGTTTAATTCAATATGTGTGAAATCAGTCAGAGGTAGATGGAGGATAAGGAAAGATTGAATTTGATGATTTTTAACCCTTAATTTTGTGCCTGTTGGCATGAATTTAACTTTAGAAATGTGTAATTAAGAATATGCACTAGTGCAATTAAATGTTACGCAGTGATAACCTCAAACTGAATACTTGTTTTACATAATTTGAAATGGTTTTATTGTGAAATGTTTGCAGATGACCATGAATGCGGCTGATGTCGTCATTCCTAGGGAAAGCTACCACCCTGCTGACTTGTTAGAGACGCAGATGGACCAAACTGCCCAAGACACTAATCAACAGGTACCTTCATGTTTAGCACTTTAGATTTACTCCTAGAATATTTTTAACTCGCCGTTTGTTGCTTTTTCTGTCCTTCAAGCAGGTAAATAAGCTGTTTTTTGAAATGCATCTAGAAAGCTCATGGTAATGTTATATTTTGGACAGATTTAAACATTTACAGGGATGTTCTTTTTGATAAAATATCACTCTATTCTGGGACATTCACGACGTCCCCACAGGACACCATATGTTAGTGTTTGAATAGAAACTGTGTGTTAAGTATCTGACAACCTAGAGACTCTACAATTGGTCCCCATACGGAACCTCAACATGGTGTGTGATATGTCCCCACTAAGCTTGTTTAATTCAGTATGTGTGAAACAAGTCAGAGGTGGATGGAGGATAAGGAAATATTGAATTTGATGATTTTTAACCTTTAATTTTGTGCCTGTTGGCATGAATTTAACTTTAGAAATGTGTCATTAAGAACATGCACTAGTGTAATTAAATGTTAAGCAGTGATAACCTCAAACTGAATACTTGTTTTACATAATTTTAAATGGTTTTATTGTGAAATGTTTGCAGATGACCATGAATGCGGCTGATGGTGTCATTTCTGGGGAAAGCTCCCACTCTGCTGTCTTGTTAGGACCACACATGGACGAAACTGCCCAAGACACTAATCAACAGGTACCTTCATGTTTAGCACTTTAGATTTACTCCTAGAATATTTTTAACTAGCCGTTTGTTGCTTTTTCTGTCCTTCAAGCAGGTAAATAAGCTGTTTTTTGAAATGCATCTAGAAAGCTCATGGTAATGTTATATTTTGGACAGATTTAAACATTTACAGGGATGTTCTTTTGATAAAATATCACTCTATTCTGGGACATTCACGACGTCCCCACAGTACACCTTACGTCAGTGTTTGAATAGAAACTGTGTGTTAAGTATTTGACAACCTAAATACTTGGTCTACAATTGGTCCCCATAAGGAACCTCGACATGGTGTGTGATATGTCCCCACTAAGCTTGTTTAATTCAATATGTGTGAAATCAGTCAGAGGTAGATGGAGGATAAGGAAAGATTGAATTTGATGATTTTTAACCCTTAATTTTGTGCCTGTTGGCATGAATTTAACTTTAGAAATGTGTCATTAAGAACATGCACTAGTGTAATTAAATGTTAAGCAGTGATAACCTCAAACTGAATACTTGTTTTACATAATTTTAAATGGTTTTATTGTGAAATGTTTGCAGATGACCATGAATGCGGCTGATGGTGTCATTTCTGGGGAAAGCTCCCACTCTGCTGTCTTGTTAGGACCACACATGGACGAAACTGCCCAAGACACTAATCAACAGGTACCTTCATGTTTAGCACTTTAGATTTACTCCTAGAATATTTTTAACTCGCCGTTTGTTGCTTTTTCTGTCCTTCAAGCAGGTAAATAAGCTGTTTTTTGAAATGCATCTAGAAAGCTCATGGTAATGTTATATTTTGGACAGATTTAAACATTTACAGGGATGTTCTTTTTGATAAAATATCACTCTATTCTGGGACATTCACGACGTCCCCACAGTACACCTTACGTCAGTGTTTGAATAGAAACTGTGTGTTAAGTATTTGACAACCTAAATACTTGGTCTACAATTGGTCCCCATAAGGAACCTCGACATGGTGTGTGATATGTCCCCACTAAGCTTGTTTAATTCAATATGTGTGAAATCAGTCAGAGGTAGATGGAGGATAAGGAAAGATTGAATTTGATGATTTTTAACCCTTAATTTTGTGCCTGTTGGCATGAATTTAACTTTAGAAATGTGTAATTAAGAATATGCACTAGTGCAATTAAATGTTACGCAGTGATAACCTCAAACTGAATACTTGTTTTACATAATTTGAAATGGTTTTATTGTGAAATGTTTGCAGATGACCATGAATGCGGCTGATGTCGTCATTCCTAGGGAAAGCTACCACCCTGCTGACTTGTTAGAGACGCAGAGTGGACCAAACTGCCCAAGACACTAATCAACAGGTACCTTCATGTTTAGCACTTTAGATTTACTCCTAGAATATTTTTAACTCGCCGTTTGTTGCTTTTTCTGTCCTTCAAGCAGGTAAATAAAAAAGCTGTTTCATTTGAAATGCATCTAGAAAGCTCATGGTAATGTTATATTTTGGACAGATTTAAACATTTACAGGGATGTTCTTTTTGATAAAATATCACTCTATTCTGGGACATTCACGACGTCCCCACAGGACACCATATGTTAGTGTTTGAATAGAAACTGTGTGTTAGGTATCTGACAACCTAAAAATGGAAACAGAGACTGGCTACAATTGGTCCCCATACGGAACCTCAACATGGTGTGTGATATGTCCCCACTAAGCTTGTTTAATTCAGTATGTGTGAAACAAGTCAGAGGTGGATGGAGGATAAGGAAATATTGAATTTGATGATTTTTAACCTTTAATTTTGTGCCTGTTGGCATGAATTTAACTTTAGAAATGTGTCATTAAGAACATGCACTAGTGTAATTAAATGTTAAGCAGTGATAACCTCAAACTGAATACTTGTTTTACATAATTTTAAATGGTTTTATTGTAGAAATGTTTGCAGATGACCATGAATGCGGCTGATGGTGTCATTTCTGGGGAAAGCTCCCACTCTGCTGTCTTGTTAGAGACCACACATGGACGAAACTGCCCAAGACACTAATCAACAGGTACCTTCATGTTTAGCACTTTAGATTTACTCCTAGAATATTTTTAACTAGCCGTTTGTTGCTTTTTCTGTCCTTCAAGCAGGTAAATAAGCTGTTTTTTGAAATGCATCTAGAAAGCTCATGGTAATGTTATATTTTGGACAGATTTAAACATTTACAGGGATGTTCTTTTTGATAAAATATCACTCTATTCTGGGACATTCACGACGTCCCCATAGTACACCTTACGTCAGTGTTTGAATAGAAACTGTGTGTTAAGTATTTGACAACCTAAATACTTGGTCTACAATTGGTCCCCATAAGGAACCTCGACATGGTGTGTGATATGTCCCCACTAAGCTTGTTTAATTCAATATGTGTGAAATCAGTCAGAGGTAGATGGAGGATAAGGAAAGATTGAATTTGATGATTTTTAACCCTTAATTTTGTGCCTGTTGGCATGAATTTAACTTTAGAAATGTGTAATTAAGAATATGCACTAGTGCAATTAAATGTTACCCAGTGATAACCTCAAACTGAATACTTGTTTTACATAATTTGAAATGGTTTTATTGTGAAATGTTTGCAGATGACCATGAATGCGGCTGATGTCGTCATTCCTAGGGAAAGCTACCACCCTGCTGACTTGTTAGAGACGCAGATGGACCAAACTGCCCAAGACACTAATCAACAGGTACCTTCATGTTTAGCACTTTAGATTTACTCCTAGAATATTTTTAACTCGCCGTTTGTTGCTTTTTCTGTCCTTCAAGCAGGTAAATAAGCTGTTTTTTGAAATGCATCTAGAAAGCTCATGGTAATGTTATATTTTGGACAGATTTAAACATTTACAGGGATGTTCTTTTTGATAAAATATCACTCTATTCTGGGACATTCACGACGTCCCCACAGGACACCATATGTTAGTGTTTGAATAGAAACTGTGTTAAGTATCTGACAACCTAGAGACTCTACAATTGGTCCCCATACGGAACCTCAACATGGTGTGTGATATGTCCCCACTAAGCTTGTTTAATTCAGTATGTGTGAAACAAGTCAGAGGTGGATGGAGGATAAGGAAATATTGAATTTGATGATTTTTAACCTTTAATTTTGTGCCTGTTGGCATGAATTTAACTTTAGAAATGTGTAATTAAGAATATGCACTAGTGTAATTAAATGTTACGCAGTGATAACCTCAAACTAAATACTTGTTTTACATAATTTGAAATGGTTTTATTGTGAAATGTTTGCAGATGACCATGAATGCGACTGATGTCATCATTCTTGGGGAAATCTACCACTCTGCTGTCTTGTTAGAGATTCAGAGTGATGACGTTTCGAGTCCACAAGACACTAATCAACAGGTACATTCATGTTTAGCACTTTAGCTGTACTCCTAGAATCCTTCTGACTCACCTTATGCTGATTTTTCTGTGGTTCAAGTGGTTAAATGAAGGAAATACATTCATTATGATGGTAATCTATTGATCTATTGTGAATCGAAAATCTCAAGCAGTTTCATTTAATGCATTTAGAAAGCTCATGGTAATGGGATATTTAGGACAGATTTTGCGTTTCTAGGGATGTTACTTTTGATAAAATATCACTCTATTCTGGGACATTCACGACGTCCCCACACAGTACACCTTACGTCAGTGTTTGAATAGAAACTGTGTGTTAGGTATCTGACAACCTAATCAGAAATTAGGTAAACTAGAGACTTGGTCTACAATTGGTCCCCATCTGGAACCACGACAGGGTGTGTGATATGTCCCCACTAAGCTTGTTTTATTCAATATGTATGAAATGAAGGCAGATGTTGATGGAGGAGGAGGAAATACTGAATTTGATCATTTTTAACCTGTAGTTTTCTGTCTGTTGGCATGAATTTAACCTTAGAAATGTGTCATTAAAAATATGCAGTAGTGTAACTAAATATTACGCAGTGATAACATCAAACCTTAAACTTGTTTTCCTATTTTGAAATGTTTTTTATTGTTATTGAAATGTTTGCAGATGACCATGAATGCAGCTGATGTTGTCATCCCTGAGGAAAGCTCCTACCCGGCTGTCTTTGTAGAGATGCAGATGGATGAAGCTTTTGATCCACCAGACTCTAATCAGCAGGTACATTCATGTTTAGCACTTTAGCTTTACTCTTAGAGTTTTTCTAACTCACCGTTTGTTGCTTTTTCTGTCCTTCAAGGAGGTAAATAAGGGAAATGCATATATTATGATGGTAATCTATTGTGAATCAGAAGTTTAAAGCAGTTTTGATATTTATGTAATGTAAAAGTATAAATTCTGAGTTTAAAATTAGAATATTTGTGATGTTGTTATCTTTTAAGGCTGTCTTTCAAACATTTAAAAAAGTAAATATTTTGCCTAAACTCACAAATCGCAAAGGTTATAAATTTGATTTGTCCTAATTATTCAGATTTATTTTCAAGATATATTTTTGTGACAGCACAAACAGTTTGTTTGCAGACAAAGGAATATTATCTATGTTCAGAAGTATAAACATTCACCAAATCAGACTTTACAGTTTCAAAATATTTTCTTGTGTTTAGACTATTGCTGTTTTTAGGAACATTTGTTAACATCACTACTCTGAGTGTGTGAGAAAAGTATAATATCAAATTTGCAATTAAGTGGTTAGATTTACATTGTAGGAATAACTTGAATTGTATTGTCATAATATATTGCACTGGGATTGTGTTAAGTTTAAAAGGATGTTTGTCTAAGTAACTTCTTTTATTCTTAGATGAAAGACACAGATGTTGAAGAGTCAAATGATGAATCTGACTCTGCATCAGGGAGTAGTGATGAGTACATACCAGATACCACTTCTGAAAGTGAAGAGAGTGATGCGAGCCTGAAACCAAGGACCAAACCCTTTTCTCTTGATGACGTATTGAATGACTCCGGTTCAATGAGTCCCCCCAGTCTGTGACACGACAACTTTAGACCATGTGATCTTTGACAGCAACACAACAACATATGAGGTCACTGAAGCAGACGGACCCTGCACAAGTCAAGACATGACTGACAGCATAGTTGTTCGTGCTTCCAAAAAAAGAAATGGCAATAGAGTGTACAACAAGAGACATTATTGCTTGTATTGCAGGAAACCTTATGCCAAGATGGCAAGACATCTAGAAAGTGCACACCAAGATAAATCAGATGTGGCCAAAGCTCTTAGCTTTCGAAAGGTTCCAAGGAAAGGAAAAAACAGCTGGATTATATTCGCAACAGAGGCAACTATGCTCACAATGCTGCTGTTATGGAGTCAGGGAATGGAGAATTGGTACCATTTAAACAACCACCTAAAGAAGCAAAAGGAGGTGATTTCATGCACTGTGCATACTGCCAAGGACTTTTTACAAGAAAGGTCCTGTGGCGACACATGCGAAGTTGTAAACTCCAACCTGGATCAGTTCGCCCCAGACCAGGAAAGAACCGTGTTCAGTCTTTGTGTACATTCACAGGGCCGGTGCCTTCACACATAAGTAAACAATTGTGGGGAGTTATCAGTGCCATGAAGCCTGATCCAATCACGGATACAATAAAAAATGACCATGTCATTACTGATGTTGGGCAGCACCTGTTAAACAAAGGTGGGATGTCAGCCAAGAATCAACAGTGTGTGCGAGAGAAGATGCGAGAAATGGGAAGGTTGGTTCACAATGCCAAGAGAGAGTTAGCACCTTAAATAAAATGGAGGATTTCATAAATCCTAAAAATTATTTGGATATGGTCAAAGCTGTCAAGTTAACTTGTGGCTTTTACAGTGACACAAACACATTCTTGATTCCATCACTGGCAAATAAACTTGTTAAAGTCAGCAAACTCTTGAAAGCTCAGGGTTTGATCTCAGAAAACAAAGAGCTTGTAAGGAATGCCACTGAGTTTCAAGAAGTCCACAGCGAAAAGTGGAACGAGATGGTATCTGCAACAGCGCTAAGGAACATTGCAGAAGCAAAGTGGAATGTGCCCACTCTAATGCCCTTTACTGAGGATGTACAAAAAAATGCATCAGTTTCTCAGTCAAATGCAAAATGAGTGCAGCAATGCTCTGTCTGAAAGTCCTTCTACAAAGGCCTGGCTTGACCTGGCAAAGGTGTGCTAGCACAGACCATCCTCTTTAACCGGCTGAGGAAGGAGGTGGGGAGCATGCCCTTGTCTGCATTTCTATCAAGAGACTCCTCAGATCCCCACCAGGATTTGGACTGGGCACTCTCTGAAGTGGAAAAAAACTTTGCAGACATTTCTCAAGGATAATCATCAGGGGAAAACGAGGTAGGCCGGTTCCCAATTCTTCTGACTCCGAAAATGCTGTGTGCATTAGAACTGCTTGTTAAGCATAGAGAGGCTTGTGGAGTTCTCAAAGACAATGCTTACATGTTTGCAAGACCCACAGCTATGACACACATCCGTGGTTCAGACTGCATCCGTGGCTTCGCAAAGGAATGTGGTGCAAAGTGTCCTGAGTCACTGACATCCACCAGACTACGAAAACATGCTGCAACCCTTTCAACCGTGCTGAACATGACAGACACAGAGATGGACCCAGCTGGCCAACTTTCTTGGTCATGACATTAGAATCCATCGTGAGTTCTATCGACTCCCTGAGAAGACCCTGCAACTCGCCAAAATCAGCAAAGTCCTAATGGCACTTGAGCAAGGAAGATTGGCTGAGTTCCATGGCAAGAACTTGGATGAAATTACAATTAATCCAGATGGTATGTTTTCAGATTTGTATCTCCTTTGTCTATCTTTTTTCCATCCTTTCTTTTGTTTGATCACATTTAAAAGCTGTACCGGTATGTCTCCCACAGAAAAAGTTCTGGATTGTGATGAGGAAGATGAGAAGAGAGAGGAAGAAAACTGTTCATCTGCTGTTAATGGTAATTTTAGTAATTTAATGTAAAAAAAAAAAAATAGGTTCGTAACTTTTTACTGGACCTGGACCATCAAGTAATCATTATTTTTAGACCCGTCTAAGTATCTTTATTAATAGCATTTTCCATCTGTTGCAAGTCCTAGTCCCTCATAAAGCCTTAAACAGCTGCCTTACTTCCCCACTGCTGCACTATGGTTTGATACTAGCTCATGCTTTTGAGCACCATTACAGGACATGTCTCACCTACTGTAGACAGCTGCAGTGGAGTTATTTAGATTCATTGGGCCTCATGCAAGAACACTGACAACAAATGACACATTGACTGGGTATTGTAAGAATTCTTACATTACATGTGTGTGGTAATTATCTTGTGGTATTTATTTTTGCATAGAGCAACCAGCAGACGAGACAATTCCACCTACTGAAGGGAATGAATTCCCATCAACAATCAAGACACGCAAACTGCCATCAGCAGAGGAAGTGGTATCTTCTGAAGCCTGTGCTGTAAGACCTTCTTACAAAGGTGAATTTTTACACATAATACATTTCTCTCCATCTCGTTCCTCTATCTTTCTCTATTCTAGTAACGAATAGATTGAGCACCTGAAATGAATCACAAAAGATTTCCTCCTCCTCTTGACACCCCTCCAACTGGTAACACTCTAGGCAACAGCCTAGCCTTCTGAGAGTGTGAATAGGTTAAACATTGTAATTAACAGATGGATGGATAGTAAAACCCAGTAATTACTAATTTTGTGGAAGTTGATGTGTGAAAAGCTAGTTACTAGTTGCAAGCCAGGCTAAAGTCAATTAAAACTGCCCAAAACTAGAGGGTCCTTCAACTATAGTTTATAACTTTTTCCAGGACCTGGGCCATCAAGCAATCATTATTGATGGACCCTGTCTTAGTATCTTATTAATAGCTTTTTTTCTTTTTTGCAAGTCCTAGTCTGTGATAAAGCCTTCAACAGCTTTATTTCACCACCACCACACTATGGTTTTATGTTAACTCAGGATTTTGAGCGCCATTACAGGACATGTCTCAACTATTGTGGGCACATGCAGTGGAGCCAGGTAGTTATTTAGATTCATATTTATTTTTTTCATAGAGCCATCAGCAGAGAGACTCTTACAGCTACTGAAGGGAATGAATTCCCATCAACAATCAAGAGACACAAAAACTGCCATCAGCAGAGGGAAGTGGTATCTTCTGGAGTCAGTGCAGTAAGACCTTCTATACAAAAGGTACATTTTTTACACAATCAATCTCTCTAGTATCTAAACTGGTAGATAGATATGTGATGTGGATGATAAATACTGTTGTTGCCCTCTTCCCCAGTGTTTATTGTAGCCCAAGTGGCAGATATTGGACTGACAATGTAATTTCAGCCGTTAGTTGAACGATAATTTCACTTGCTGTATATGATAGCATATACAGTACATATAAGGCCAAAAGTCAGTGTAAACCCCACTGATTACTGTGTTCAGGTGTTCAGCCACACCCATTGCTAACAGGTGCATAAAAACTAGCAGATAGACATGAAAATCTCCAAACATTTTGGAATTTAGAATGGGCTGTAAAGAACAAGATGCTTCTAATTATTTTATTCACCAATTTGTTTTTCTGCTCACTTACAGGTAAAACAGGCCCCAAAAAAAAAAACCTTGGCAGCAGGCAGAGGTGCAGGCAGTCGAGAAGCACATGAGTAGATTCATCACTTCTTGTATTGTGCCAGCAAAAGAGTGACTGTGAGAAATGTTTAAGAGCTGAACCAGTAGCTCTCAAGAACCGGGGGATTAGCATACCTTGAAATTTTGTGTGTATAACCTTGATTACAGCCTACAAGAGGAAAATGAGTAAATAGAATATTTCTCATCTTTCGAGACCCACTTTGGCATGTCAAGGTTATAAGGTGTTAAGCATGTTTAAAAATATACAAGTTTGTATTGTTGCTTTAGGTGTTCTCTTGAGAGAAAGCAAATGAGCTAGACTCATTAAAAAGTTCAAAGTATAATTTAAATGAGTTTGATTTCTCTGAACTAAGGAAATTATTATTTACTATGAAGTTATGCAGCAAACAACACAGACAAACATGAATACTAGTTGTATTAGGGGTTGTTGAGTATTCTGTGTAGTTACAATGATGACGATGTAAACAAAGAATAACCTAAAATGAGATTAGGTTTAGGGTTTGACTTTTGTTTGGCAGACATTTGTGAGACAACAATTTCTAGACAGTAATTCATTACTCAAATATCGGTACTTAAGTGACCACTGATATCAAAAAGAATTAAGTAAGAACAATGTCTCTAGTATAAATGCTCATTTAATTTCAATTTTATTTTATTTGTATAGTTCCAATTCAACGAAAGTCATCTTTCTAAAATACAGAATGTCTAGACCTTACTCCTCATTAAATCAAATTGTATATTATATTAACGTTTTCACCTATATAAATAAAAACTAAAAAGTATATAGATTCTGGTATAGGTTAAATAATGTGATTGTGTTATGGATAGTACTTTCGTGCAGTTTGGTTTGCAATGTAGAATTGTGATTCCCAACAATATCCAACCCTACTTAAGAATCCTCTTTACACAAACCACTAGCAAAGTAGTTAAAGCCTTTTTCCTTAGTGAAAATATCATAATGACACGCATCTGCATTATTATTGGTGCTGGTAAAGTTGATTTTAATATTTGCATTATTGTGGTTTTGATTCTGGTATTTGGTCTAAGCCCTGCAGATAGCAGCTTGCTTACTTTATGAAAAATGTATTATTCAAGACATAACCTGGTTGGTAGGAGACAGCTTCATAGCAGTTTACAGTATGAAGGAGTCACAAAGTGGTTATATTATGGGCTGCCATTGTTGTAGTGAACCTTGTGATCAAAAGAAGACAGCTCAAATCCAATAATCTGAGGATTATATCACTTAAGCATGTTGTTCTACCATGGTCCCCAGTAATCAGTTGGAAATCTGTATAAATTATGCAAATTATATTTAAATTAGGTCCCCTACAAACATGTTTACTGGATTTTTTCATAGGTCCCCAGTTAGCATGATGAAAACCTTACTTCATCAATTCAGATATTTGAAGTCGTGTATGAGCTAACCAACCAATGGTGAGTGTACCTGATTTTTCATACCTCTAGAACCTCTAGAAAGGGGTGGTCCCAAAGTGATGATCAAAATTTGGTCCCCATTGCAAATGGTAACCAGTATGTGTGTGT